ATCTATCTATCTATCTATCTGTTGGTCTTAATATCTATCTATCTAATGTATGTGATGTAATGTAATGTGATGTGATGTGATGTAATGTAATGTAGTGTAATGTAATGTATCTATCTATCTATCTGTCTATCTGTCTAATTTATGTGTGTATGCGATGTAATGTAATGTGTAATGTGTAATGTGTAATGTGTAATGTAATGTGTGATGTATTGTGTAATATAATGTGTAATGTGTAAATGTATAATGTGTAATGTTGTGTGATGTGTCTATCTTTCTATCTATCTACTATCTATCTATCTATCTATCTGTCTGTCTATCTATCTATCTATCTATATCAATCTATATCTATCTATCTATCTATCTATCTATCTATGTACCTATCTATCTATCTATCTGTCTATATATCTATCTATATCAATCTATATCTATCTATATCTATCTATATCTATATCTATCTATGTCTATCTATATATATATATCTGTCTATCTATCTATCTATCTATCTATATATCTATCTATCTATATCTATCTATCTCTATCTATCTCTATCTATCTATATCTATCTATATCTATCTATATCTATCTATATCTATCTATATCTATCTATATCTATCTATATCTATCTTTATCTATATATATCTATCTATATCTATCTATATCTATTTAAATCTATCTATATCTCTATTTATCTATCTATCTATCTATCTACCTATCTATCTATCTATCTATCTATCTATCTATCTTATCTATCTATCTATCTCTATCTATCTCTATCTATCTATATCTATCTATATCTATCTATATCTATCTATATCTATCTATATCTATCTATATCTATCTATATCTATCTTTATCTATATATATCTATCTATATCTATCTATATCTATTTAAATCTATCTATATCTCTATTTATCTATCTATCTATCTATCTATCTACCTATCTATCTATCTATCTATCTATCTAATCTATCTATCTATCTAATCTATCTAATCTAATCTAATCTAATCTATCTATCTATCTATCTATCTTTCTATCTATCTATCTATCTATCTACCTATGTATCTATCTATCTATCTATCTATCTATATATCTATCTGCATTCATCTATCTATCTGCTGTCTTTATCCATCTTTCCATCTGTCCAATTTTCCATCTATCCATCTATCTATCCATCGATCTTTTTTCTTCCTTTCTAGCTATCTATCTATCTATCTTGCTATACATATATATATATATATATACTTATTTATTTATTTATTTACACATGTCATATATATATATGTGTGTGTGTGCGCGTGCAGTGTTTTTGGGAGTATCCCTCACCTTGAGCCTTGGGTTCCCCGCCCAGAATGCATGCTACTTTATTCCCTGAAGATTCGAAAAGAGCCATTGCAATTTCGTATCTAACATGAAATCGACGCGGAAAAGTATCATTGTTTGATCAGTCCCAACAAGCACAGAAAACACAAAATCATTGAAAAATCTTGAAAGTGCCACCAGTACCAGCGACTGCCAAGCTGCCGTGAAGATTTTGCTCTTCCCGGATTCGGTGGCTGCACAGATGAACTGCAAATCCCCCAGCAAGCGCCAGGTCTTCCTAGTGGCAGCTGGGAAGAAGCTGCTTGTTGCCATGAAATCCTCTAAGTCAAATCGCCAATTTTATCTACTTCATTAATACTATACAGTGATATAATTGATAGACAATTTTTCCAGCTTCAGTCGAATGCCCCATGTCTTTCACAAGGTATACAATGATTTACATTGATATATTCCATTCCTTGACCTTGACAGGCCCGCATCCCATGTCCATCGCATTACAATACACCGTATCAACTTCAAGGCTCAAGGTCTTATCATTCCCACCGGTGAGCAGAAGACTTCGGTGTGAGTCGAACACCACCTTGGAGTTTCTGGTGTGGGTTGTCTACCCACGTAGATATATATATATACCGATCGATGATGATCGATATGCCTATTCAATACATATGTGCATATATATATATATATCAAAGCCGAGAAACACCATGTGCATGTCGCATTGATCGCATGCAGGCAATATAAACTTGCGTATATGAATGAACTACCACACACACATTTTGATATATCATGGGTGAGTTGGGGCCTTTATGAACCTTCAGTGGGGTCAAACTGGTTGGGTTTATCACGTTGCTCTGAAATGTGTATGTGAGTTCAAGTCTGCAGTCACCAGAAGCAAAAACTGTTCCAGACATCAATCAAACAACGCTGCATGTTTCTCATTCCTTATAAGGGTTTCTTAAAATGGAGGTAGCCATGAATCATCCAAAATTGGAACGTTTTACTGTTGAAACCCATGGTTTAAGTAGTCTGAATACTTCATTTCTTGGGACATTGCCAAAATCATGAGTTTCAGGTGTTGTTCCCAATATATTTTCAAAATTTCCCACCCATTTTGATCCTAAAATCGAAAAAATGCCCGACATGTTCCAACAGGACACCGATACAGTGCCGCGCACGTGGGCACTTTCCACTTGCCACAGCGCCTCAGCGCAGCGCGGTTAGAGCGGTGAAATGATTGTACCCTATCGGAGGAGAGACAACAGAACTAGCAGCCAACAGGGATGACAAATGTGACTCATTTGGTTATCATATTTGTAATGAGACAACGTGACAACTTTCAATTTACACATGATTCATGACATGATGCCAAAAAAAACATCAATAATCAAACATGTGAATGATCATAGAACGAAATGTGTACATATACATGCATGGCAATAAGAAAACAATGCTAAATAAAAATAATTACCTAAATGGTAAATGATCCACATAAATACCTGGTGTTGTAAATGCTTCCAATTGTCCCAATCAGGCACCTAAGAGTACTGCCACCCTCCGGTACTCAGCTGGTTTGCTGGAAATTCCCCCATTTGCTTCGATGTGTTCCGATGAAAAACCATGGCTAGTTCGGAGATTTCTCGGCCCGGCCGTGTTTGACTACCAAAGGGTAGTTACGGGTAGTTGGTGAGTTAAATAAGTTATATACCCTTGGGTACTCCAATTCTATCAGCCTTATTTCATCCAAGTTGCCAACGGTGGACCACTTCCACAGTAAAACCAGGATGATATGGCACCTGGCGTTAAGAACCAATGGGCAGATACTATGGCTGAAAGATGATGCGCGAACCAGCAAGAAGAGTTAGAATTGGGATATCATGGTGACATGGGAATATCATGGGGAACTCAATAGGCCATTTTCCAGCAAGCAATGCCAAACATATCCCCAGCATACCCCCGGCCGATATAGTGCCCCAATCAAATCTTCAATCAAAATCGCATGATGGGACAATCTGCAAGTTCATTCCCATTTATATTATATATATATGTGTGTGTAAATGTATAATTATATATACATATATATGTGTGAGTGTGTGAGTGCGTACATATTAATATTGCTGTTGGTTTTATCTCCCATCGTATCCCCATCACATCCCCCTTGTATCATAGGTTCAGGACATTGCCCGAAACATCCTGGGTAGAGCCCCCACCCCTGCAGTGATCCGGGCCTGTGGTGCTGCAACCCACCAACAAACCTCGCAGCGTGACATTAGACAAACATGTCGGCTTTCATGAACAACCTTGGCCCGTGATATCACAAAACATATTGGGGAAACAGATTATTTAACCATCAGAAATGGTGATTTAGAGGAACATTACCTACTGAGAATATATTTTTTGCCAGGGCGTCGCAGAGAATATAATGTGATCTATAATATCTATAAATATATATATATATATCTATATATGTTTTCTATATATCTATAGATATCTATATATATATATCTCTCTCTCTCTCTCCCCTCGCCACCAAGGTGAAGGCCCCACTGAGGGCTGATGGTTTTTGGTGGTTAAGATTCGCCCTCAATAGACTCAAACGGCTGGGTCGCCGCCGTAGGGGGGTTGCATTATATCACAGAAAATACTCAATTTTTGGTGGTAAGTCCCCTTTTATAGCGAGTTATTGGGTTCGTTAAATCCCGACGATGTGATTTGATGTGATAGATCAGATTGTTGCTTGTATATATATATATATATCAGATATCCCATCATGTTCCCGTCAATATCCAAAAAATCAACGTTTTTCAAGATGCAAATCACAGAAGGCGCAGTACCTGGCCAAAAAAACATTCCCCATTCCCCATTCTAAAACACATGTGCATATATGTAAAAATAAACATACATAGATATCTATATATATATATGCATATATATATACACATATATATATATGTATATAGATAGGGTCAGCAAAAGCAATGAAGATATTATACTGCCAACTGTTGGATATAAAATATAAAATAATTGAAAATGAACAAGCTGAAATACCAGTTGTTAAATGAAAAGAGTTGTACGTTAAAGATGAGTATGACACTGATAATATCATTGATGAGCACATTGGCAGAACAACCCCGTAATCATAAGAGGAGAGGTTGCTGGAACCGGTAAGAGCTATATATGCGAAAGGGTGATAGACAGAGACTTTAAGGTTACATTTGTTTGCCCTACCAAGAAGTTATTGCAGTCATTTGAGGGAGAAGCAATTACAATCAATACGCTTTTTGGTAAATCATTTGGTACTGTTAAATTGGATGAGTTTGATCTTTCAGAGTTTGATGCTATTGTTTTTGATGATGTTTGTTTTGCTAATAAGAATGTATATTGGAAGATGAAGAAGTTTGTAGAAAAGAATAAGAAGGATAAAATAATAATTGGAACCGGTGATGCCCTACAATTAAAACCTATTCAAGAGCTTACTAACGCACAGGACTATCATACTGATGCCGATGAAATCATTGATGACATGTTTGAAAACAAGATAAACCTGAAGCAAGAGGCTAAAAAATGAAGATGATAGAACCAAAATATATAAGATAAAATATGACATTTTTGTTAAACAGTGTTCATTTACAAAAGTCATTGAGAAATACTTTTCATATACTGTACAACTGACATCAGTGGTTCTAAGTATAACATTGCCGTTCCCAATAACACCTGTAAAAATATATCCAAAGAGATTAGGAAAAAAGAAAACGGACAGTATATGAAAAAGGAGAAAGGCTAATCTGCAGAGAATACACCAAAGTTGATGGGAAATTGCTTAATTTAAATTTTGAATATGAAATAGTAGTAGTATGTTAGTATGTGTTACTTTTTTTTATGTTGAAAGATATTTCAAAGTCGGGAGGTTCAAGGTTTAGATAAACCTTACGTAAGGAAAATTCATATTTGCTTCTTGCTTTACTTGTCATTCTGCCCAAGGCAGTAGCATAGGTGGTGGTATTACAATCTTTGATTACAACCACTTTCTGATAAGAAATTATAGGGAGTGGTTATGGACTGCTATTACAAAAGCTAAGGACTTAAGTAGATAAAAGTTGGTCAAATACAGTGATGGGTTGAACAATATAAAATACAAGATAGAAAAGGTCAAAGAGAAATACCTAAGGAAGGTTATATCAATGCTCAATGGTTTATGGATAATATAACCAATCAATGTAATTTCTGTCAATTACTGTGGTTTTGTGGCTTTACATAAGATATTAAAAAAGGTACTATATCAACAAATCTGACAGCCCAACGAAAAGGTAATGAAATAAGCCATACGTTAGATAATTGCATTGCTTACTATCATCGTTGCAATAGTAGTTGCAAATTAGCATTTATAAAAATATTTCTGAGATAAACTATCTAAAGAAATATTGCCTTATAATCGTAAGATATGATGTGCTTTGATAAAGATTATATCGAGCAATTTAGGGATATGACACCTGAACAAATAGAAACCCATACTTTTTGGAAAAAGTCAGAAATGTAATGGAACGCTTTCCAGTTGATTTTGGAATTGATAGGATAAGAAAACTAATGAAGAAAATCAAAGAAGAAAAAGCAAATGAAAACAAAACATTACAAAAATAATTCTGCAATCGTTCATAATAGTCAAAAATAATAAAAAGTTAATGTGCCTAACTTAACAATATCTAATAAATTTTCTTTCAAAACTAATTCTTGTAAAAATGTACTTAAAGAAATATTACCTTGTAATAGTAGTAGAAATATGACTACTCGATGTAATCAAAAACAAATCAATCATCATATTAACAATGAATGGTATAAATGCTGTGGATTAAAAAAGCAACATCTAGAAATGTCTAAACTAAATTTACCTGCTAATGTTGTAAATAATACTGGTATTGTTGATTATCACTAATGATAAACATGATGAATGCAACAACTGTCAAGTATGGAGGTGTCTTCAAAGTCAAATAAGTTGCCGCTGAAAAATCAAAGAAATGCAAAAGAGAAATGTAGAATATTATATTTAACATATTCTTCACTGTCTATTACAATAATTTGCCACCTATTGAGTATGTGAGAAAGTTTGTGAAAATCAGTCAGGAAAGATATGACATCTTTGATAAAGTATTATGGAAATTCTGGTATGAATGGCAAGTTAAGGATACAATAGAAAATGTTAGACAATACATTATATAGAGATACAAAGTTAAATTTTCAACAGAATTACTCAAAAATATGTAAATCTATTTGTTAAATCAACTTATGAATACAATACAATAAAGAACAAAATCCACCTCACCGATTAAATTAGTATCCTGAAATTAAAGCAATGTAAATCTCAATCCCATAAATTATATAATAACGTATTATTTAATCTATGTTGTAGAATATATGTTCCAGTAAAATAGTGTTTTACAGATATGGTATATATGTTTTATATATGTGTATACGTGTGGTGTGCCCATCTACAAAACAAATTTATCTTTAATGATTTGTTGGTGATATGTTCTAAACTGGATGAAGGTGCTTCAGGCACCGGTTAGGATGAAAATGGGCACACACACACTCTTATTCAAACATATATATATATATGTGTGTGTGTGCGTGTGCACAAATGCCGGGAAATACAATACAAAATGGATCAAAATTGCATATTTTATATTCAATCCATAAATGCAATCTGAGGGAGTGAAAACAAATGAAAATGGTGCCCGAAATTTTACCAAATTTTAGTTCAACAAATGGTCTGATATCAACTATATATGTATATACATATGTGCAATATACAAGGTATGTATTCAAAAATACGCATATCTTGCATGCATTGTATTTGCATTTCCTTATTCATGCATTCATTTATTCATATCTTGATCTACTCATACGTTCATATATTCATGTTTTAACATTGGTTCATTTGTTGATTTATTCATATGTATTCATTTGTTGATTTACTCATACTTGTTCATTGGTTCCTCTATGTTTAAGATTTATTACTTATTGTCTTTACAATATTTACATATGTGCAAGTCATGACAAGAGGACACCCGCGGTCGCCAGGCAACTCAGGGCATGACTGTAGCGCAGCGCGGTGACCGAGTGCCTTCAGATCCAAGGTGACAGGCACTGGAAACCATGGTTTTTCCCCATCAAACAAAGGGGGGTTCCTGCATAAACCGTTTGTTGAAACCATGAAGTGTTTTATCAACCGTCATAACCACTTAATGATCATTTAGCCATTTTAGTTTAGGCATGTTAAAGGATCATTAAGCATGTTTTTAATCTACAGTATCGTGTAAGCTTCAACTGGTGTAATTTTACCCCAGAGTTCCACCAGTGTTTCTATGGGGTGGTATGTCATCTTAGGAAGATGTTCGTCCCTTCTATATGATCATTAATGAAGACCTAGAAGACTGGTCCTGTATTGAATGAATGCGTTCATTTCGGTTCTCCACATTGGAGGGGTTCTTTTGGGCAAGGGGAATCAAGAGATACAAAGAGAGTCAATGTGTATATCTTGAACGTCCTGAACTAGGAGTGGCAGGATGCAAACTGCAGACTGCACATACTGCACCATATCTTATCATTCTCAAACGGCATCTCAACGCGGTGGATTCTGTTATCAATGAACCACTTGCCCAGCATTGGGGTATGGGCCGAAATCATTGGACATCAAATCCATGGTTCAATACTCAAAGTGACCAAATGTGTGGGTTGGCAAAGCCACCATTTTGAGCAGCATCCCATCCAGAAAAGCTCACCGATCCCAGCCACTGGCCGAAGGGAGTTGGAAGGTGATGGAGTTCCGACAACTTTGACTCGAACTTCCATATTCGCACCTCCCGCAGCGCGCAGCACTGGAGTCACTGAGTTGGTGCCCATTAAACCATTATGCGTGCCAATCACAGTACGTCCTAGGAGTGCTTCCAATTTGCTAGCCAAATGCAGCCAGAAGCTCGACCCCAAATTATAAGTCCTATCCTATCCGCTTTGAATTTTGAGTTGTTTTGAACTGACATACAGTAAAACCATTGAAGTTTTGTCTGTGCATGTCCAGACAAGATTTTGTGGCAGCCAATCATCCAAGTGGGGGCCAACTTTTATTAGTAAATGTATATAAATGTCTATTTCTGAGGAATGCTCAGCCTATCAGTCAAATAAGATTAAACCATTAAACCTCTTCAAAAATTGCCATTGTCAACTGGTGCTGCTCAGCTTCCGAATGACAGGCAGTAAAGATGGTGCTTAGCTCAGCATTGTAGTGCATCGCGTTGATCACGTTTACCTGTAGCGGCTATCAGAACAAGGAAGGGAACAGGTATACAGTATCATACGCTGGTATACATCTTGTCCGGAAAACTTAGAATCCAACAACCATTCAATGGAATATCACCATCACATGCACGGGTTTCCCGCAGAGGGGATTCAGGGTCCCAATGGGCAGTAAAGAGGGTCAACATTGGGGCCTGGTCATCGAGCATTGACACACATAGATATGTAAACACATGATGCACATATATATGACATACATACGTACGTTCTGCGTGTATATGTATGTGTACAACTACATAGATATAGATATCAATAAAAACACATAGAAATATGTGTATACATATAGTGCAATATGATGCACCCAACGATTTCTAAACGTACAGATACACGATTAATATATACATATGTGGTTTTAATATTAAATTATATAAATATAGATATTATATTCTATTCTATTCTGTTATAATATATTATATATATAGATATAGATATATATATATATATGTGTGTGTATGTGTGTGTATACGAGGCATCCGTTTTTGGGTGTACCAGAACGCCCAGTGACTACCAAGTTGGGTAGGGCGGGGTGGACGCTCGCCTGGCAAAACTAGGGGTCTGCCAGGCGGCCGTACTGAACATGGAAGGATCAGAAGGATGATTGCTCTATAATATCTATCTATCTATCTATCTATCTATCTGTCTGTCTATCTATCTATCTATCTATCTATATATATGTTTATGGTTGTGAAACATGATTCTTCATTACATATGTATATACTGTATGTATATCTGTGCGTGTGGATATTTTGTGTGGTAAATTCAATGCCATAAACCATCCCCAATCGAGGTTTATTATTGGGTATACCGTTATACCGGCATAGCTCTGGGATGATGTAAAATGACCCCAGCCATGGTTGGTGAATTCGATGGTCCCCTCAGGCCCAGTCGCGTGGGCCGTTTCCACTTTGCACACCTCGGAAGCTGACGCCCACCCAAGGGGACAATCACAAAGATCCCAGCAGTTTTTGTTGGCAGCTGCATGAAAAAATCTTGCTGTTTGGGAAGGAATCAAAAGCCAAGTTGCCTTCTTTACCACCCATGAACATCAATGTATCATTTTTTTCTGGTGTTTTAAGAATAGGGCACAAAGGTGTTGTCATGTGTTGTCTCATTTCCGTGTGGCTCAGCTTTGCTATCACAAAAATCCAGCGGAAAAAAAAAGTAGACAGCCCACGTTTCTCTAGACCGGAAAAGAAGTACAATGGCACATAATTATTTTGGAATCTTTTAGGGCAACTTCGAAATTCCATACATACATTTCCAGCAATAATGATGATAATCTACAATAATAACATACGTATAAAAGCCATATGGATCCATATGAGATATATTGTGGGAAGCCCAAGGCCCACAAGTCCCATTTGGGGATGGTTTAATGGTGATGACTTGCCCTTTTTTTCGCCATTAGCCGCCTCCTTGAAGGTCTTGTTCACCATCTCCCATGCCCTCAGTGATGCATCCGCGCAGGCGGCGATGACCATGTTTTTGCGGCCAAGATATGCGATGACCTGAGTAAAAAGGGGAGGTGTCCCGTTGCGGTTTGGAAAAATCACAGCTCTTTCAATGTCCCAATTGGGGGATGGTGCCCCAGTGGGGGATGTGCATTTACCAAGTTTAGCTTTTCTGTCCTTTCTCTTCTATCTGATTCTATCTTTTCGGGGGCCAAGAAATTCCTGCTGACATTGACCCAAAGAAAAGCCCCGAAGCAATGAAGATTTCGGGAACAGGAAAAACGGTGGGAAACCAAACCAAGACTTAAATTACAAGAAGTTACAAGTCATAATAAACGAAAGAAATCAACAAACTGCACCATGTCTTTCTTGCTTGAATGTGTGCGAATCTCACCCAAGTGAATAAATATGAGTCGAGATGCAACTCCTACAAACTTGGCACGAACTGACGCAACAAGCAACGCTTCCAGAATCAACGTTGGAAGATCTTGCCCTTTGGCATTGGAAGATCTTGCCCTTTGGCATTGGCCAAGCAGCGTGAATCTCGCTACCCACAGCCTCCTCCAGTACGGCCAGTTTAGCCAATTTCCCATCCTGGAGGCAACTGGCTCAATACGACTCACATTTTAAGATGAGCTATCAACTTGTGTATGGTGGGTGCCAATCGTGGAAATATCCACATTGTTGTTGTTGTTGCTGCTGGTGGTGTTGTTTTTGTTGTTCTTTGTCTTCTTCTTCTTTTTCTTGCATTCCGAGTTCCAGTGTGGTTCACATCGCTGGTCCATGTCAAGGGCCGTTGTTTGTTCTATACCCGCCCCTGGCGGAATTCGTTGAATCATCTTGAATCCTCATCACAAATTACTTCTAAAATCACCATTGCTTGTTGCTTGGTGAAACCCATTTTGTTTGTTTCCGGGCAAAGTCCTAAATCCCACTTGTGTTGATTAAGTTAAATCCATATCTTTCTTTAAATCCCGATTCTGAGTGCCTGAACTGGCCGGTTGAATCCCCATGCTTGTTGGCTGAACCCCTATTTTTTCGCGTAAATCCACCATGTTGATTGAGTTAAACCCAGATGTTTTTGCTGAAAACCATCCAACATTCGGCCTGCAAATCTCCAAAAACAGTTCCCTTGCCGTTCCTTGAAGCGCCAAGCCCGCAAGGCTCCATCCTCCCCAGCTGTTACCAAGGTGCCTCAGCTGGAACCCCTGGATTTGTTCATCAAAAGAAATGGGAAAGAATGTACAAATGATGCAAAACGTGTAAGAAATGGTTCACTGAATCCCGGTTTGATGTTTTCTTGGGGGGAGGGGCCAAGAAACGAGATGAAAGTGATGAAAGCACATGAAAGCATCGCAACTGACCCACTGCCCGTGCAACCGTGAGACGCGCTGGTCGATCAAACTGCATGGTTCGGATGGTACCTGCGGAAATTGCATGTGCTGCGAGGCTCACACTGTCAAACAGCTAAACGCAGCTGCTGAAATTGATTTCAAACGGGGCAAAACATGAAAAAACAAAAATGTTTTAAACAACCAAACAATATACAAAATATACAAAGGGGAAAAGGCAGATCAAGGTTCAGCAAATTCCAGCAACAACCATCCAGAAGAAAAAACGTCCAAAGGGCTGCACCTTCATGGGCCTGAATGGAGCTCAGCAAAGTAATGCCATGGTCCTCCAACCTGATCGCGCTCAAGGTGGGGAACTGAAAGAAGCAGCTTTGGAAGAGCTAGCAGCTAGTGAGTCCGGGAAATAAATATGTGAGTCATGTTCGCAACTCATGGTTTTTTATGTGTTTTCCTTTTCACTGCTCATGGAACTTTCTGGAATTCGAATGCGCAACATGTTTCGGACATATTCAAATAAATCGATTGACTCTTAGTTGTTTCATCTGGTTCCTATGTCCTATGCCCTGTTCCCTTGTTGAGTGTCATTCCAACTTGGAAAGCATCCAATTTCGTTATGCTCAAGGCGTTCCGAACCGCGTTTTCCAGCCTCCAGACTTGAACTGCTCCATCAAAGCCCGCTGTGAAAATCGTGCCTGAGTTCTCCAGAAACTGGTGCGCCGATGTCACATGGTGAGGTGTTCCTCCCTTGAATCGCTGTGGCCGTGGTTCCAATTCGGGCACCAAATTGGTGCTGTTTGGTATTAAACCACCATAAACCATCACATTTAAGGGTAAAAAAAAGTAAATATTGATTTTTTACCGTATGTTGAGCATCACCAGACTATGTCTGTTGCAGTATTGAACTCTTGTCCGGCTTCCGGCGCGGAAATCTGGCCATCAAAGAAGGGACAGACGAGCTGCGAGTGCTGGGGTCGTACTTCATGGCGAGCGTCGGCCGTGATTCTTCCTCAGCCGATGCTAACCCCAAGGCCAAGAGGGAACATGATGAACCGATGAACCATCGAATTTACGGCCCTATATTTCTCAAAGAAATTACGTAAAACACTGCGGAACGCTATCACAATCTAAAAAAACCTATTACATCAAACTACAGAACAATATCGCGCCTGAAACCGGACTGCAAAATGAAGAAATACATGTAAATCCACCAAACCATACTAAACCATACTAAACCATTAAGGGTGCAGGTATTGGAGGGATCTACAAGATTCGCTACCTGCTACGCCGGGGATCTGCTGACTGGGCATGGAACTTCAAGGCGCCTTCACCTGACGTTAGCGACAGTTTGGGCCTGTGGTGCTCTGCGGTTCGTTCAACCCACCTGGGGAAAATCAGCTCAGTGAGATCGGGATTATGATCAAAAATATTACGAAATAAAAACGAAATGTGGAATGCATTTCAAATAGCCAGTAGCTGAGGAGCACCAAATTTCAGCATGTTTGAATGGTTTGCCGTTTGCGGGCTCTTGAATTGGATTGTTGTTTCAGATTCTTGCCTGTGCAAACCGATGCCCGCATGACCCAAGCATGTTTCCAACAATTTCACTTAAATTTGTCCCAAAAACTTGAATTTGTGCAAACACTGACCCCAAGAGAATGAGACAAAAACAAGGTAACGTCGTCCGTTGCGGTCCCGCTGATTTTGCTTGTATTGACAACAAGCATCTTGCTATTTCGACAACCCCTATGGCACTTTCTCTCACCATGGATTTTGCGCCATGTTCAAATGCCTGGCGTTTTACAGCACGTTGTGTCCATTTTGTGCTATTCACAATGGGTTTTACACACCCATGTGCAAAACAGCGGGAAAAAAAAACGCATGGGAGCCAGGACTATGTTAGGATCGTGTTGCATACAGTACATGATAGACCAGACATAGACACATTCCTTGCATACTTGGACATGCACACTGATTCTTATACACATATATAAATGTATATATATATACATATTCATAAATTCCAGACAATCAGAAATATCTAGACCTACAGGAAAGCACATCTCTGACACTTCAGCCACGGTGGAACTGTCTTGCAAGGCCTGTTTCTTGACTCTTCTCTGCGGCGTAACATCACAACATGTCTTACATCACATCACAACGTCATTGCAGCCCCACCCCAGACCCAACCCCATCTCTGGCGTAACATCACAACATGTCTTACATCACATCACAACGTCATTGCAGCCCCACCCCAGACCCAACCCCATGATCACGTGCATCGTACAAAAATGCATGAATTCCCCGGGGCCGTATTGGACGACGTCAGCAAAAACAAGCACGGTCTGCAGCCTGTAGGTAGCCAATACCAAGCCCCCCGAGCTGCAACCAGGTGACGATCCATTTTCCATGCCTTGATAGTCCCATCCACACCTCAGCACGCAAGGATATGGGAATCAACCACCGAAAACCAAAAAAAAACATATATATAATGAAATATATATATATATGTAAAATATACACAAGTTTAAGATATTCAACCAGCCAAACACGAAAAGGTCTAAGCCGGCGATCATCAAAAATCGCTGTCGCCATGGCACTGCAACTCACCACCTGCGGGTCAAAGTACTGCAAGTTGAAGACCTGTCGAGCGGAATCCAACTGGTCACCAAATGTCAACAAGGTTGGAAACAGGGACACTCGATACTTGATTATGAACATGTACCAACATGGAATGAGTTTCGAATTTTAAGGACCATACCAAGCATATAGAAAGTCCGGGCAGAACCAACCCGGATGACAAAATGCACCCAATTTCAACCACAGATCTGCTTTCCACCACGCAAGATACAATGACAGTATGCCACAATATCTGTTACAATTCAAACTCTTAAAGTGAAAGAACTTTCCACTGAATTCAAAAAATCTACCTTTCCACCGTATGTTGAAAGAAACTAATCCATAACCTATCCATAGATGAAATTGTCATACAAGCGCGCAATAGTTGCAAGACACCTATGCCTGTTTATGTATATATATATATGTACAGGTATATGCTGTACCGGCTGTACCATAACTACGTGCAAATGCCATCTATATATTGTTCTTTCTTTTTATCCTATCTATTTATCTACTGATATGTACCTTTGATGAATTCTGCACGTATATTTTATTATATATATATATGTATATAACAATATAGGGTTTGTCTCAAAATAGGGTGTCTCAAAACGGCTAAAAACCAGGCGTGTGCCAAGCCACAGGGCCAGGATGATCGCCGGAACTCACCAGCTCGGAGGCCCAATCCTACGCCCGGAACTCCGAGGCATCTCTAGCAAGAAGGCTGATTGATTTTAACATGTGGTGGTTTGGGGGGTCTGGGAAAGAAGTTGTTCTTCCTGTTTTTTTTAGTGGGGTGAAAAATGCCACAAAAAATATAAAACATCAGATTCATGGCTAGGTCGGTCACCTAGGACGCACATTTCATTGAAACGCTTTGATTTCCACAACTTAGAGTACAAGGACAATGTATGTCCAACACCCGCTGGCCGCCTTTGGAGCGGAGCGGGCTGTCCAGCAAAACAACATATTAAATAGATCCAAAACCATCGTGCATTTTGACCAAAAATTATCAAAAAAATCCAGACCCCCCAAACCATCAACCCGAACCACCACATAAGGTCAACCTGATGAATGGGATTTAACCCGCAAAAAAATGGAAAATATCGATTTCAATGGATTGGTTTGAGGGAAAATCTACAGGAAATCTCATTTTTTTTCCACACATGTTTTTTGTGATGGTATGATTGTGGGTAAATTATGGGCTACGGCTATATTTGTAAACTGTGAATGGTATGGGGAAAAAACATATATGTTGAAAGATGAACTAGGTCCCTTCAAATTGCAACAATCATCATTAATGTCCCGATATGATGATGCTTAAACCAAACGTTGTCGGTGAAATCCAAAATGTTGGCACATCCAAAAACATAGTGCTGACAGAGTGGGCTAGCTCACATTGACGCACAGATTTCAGGACAAAACCGGGGAACAAAAGACCACCACCAGGTGGTTTCGGAATGTTTTTGATCATGTGTATATCATTATATATATATATATATATGTCTGGGTAAATTATAATAATTCACTAACCTGAATTAAGGCCATTTGGGGATGATTCCCCTTATAAACTATGATTCCAGTGAGGTCGCAGTAAGGTCGTTATAATTTACCCAGATATGTGTGTGTGTGTGCCTCTCTCTCCCTGATTTTTTTCGGACACAACCGCTGAATAGGATGCCCCCAGTACCCTTGCTGCACAAGACTCTGTCATCTTGAGGGCCTCAGGGCGTTGAGCAACGGAGCGGCTCAGCATCCAACAGGCACAGGCCGGGCCCTGCCTTGATGACTCCATCGTCGCCACAACTGAGCACTAAGCCATGACCTCACCAGGGGGGATGTCGTTGCAACATATCATCAAGTGAGAATTTTCATCACCAGTCGATTATTTGCCATTATGTATATATATATATTATATTATATATATATATTATATATATTATATATATTATATATATATACATAATATAATCGATGTAGATGCGTATATATATATATATTTATACTTAAAATGTGTGCGTGTGTGTCAATTTAATCCAATTTATTGATACCCAAGCTTCGCTCCTTTTTGCTTTTGATATGGTGGGACATTCTGGGACAAGCATCTGACATTCATCATTTCAGACATCGCAGGTAGGATGGAAAGTCTCAAAAATGCTGGTGAAACATAATCAAAGCACCAACCAGTTGCAGCTGGTTAACAACAGTTAACATCCCCCATGGCAGTTCAATCCCCATGATTCCCAAGTAGCTGAATGTTCTAAAAATAGTCAAAGCATCTGAAACCATCAACCAACAACCATCAACCATCAACCAACTGACAACCAACATCAACCAACCATCAGTCACCGACGATACATGACCACTTTCCCGCTCCGCAGGCCTCCATTGATGAGCACGCCACGTGCGCCATCAGGATGGGCTCCCAGCGCGCTTCCCGCAGGTCTCCTGAGCCAGCAGCTGGATCAGTGGCTCCGCAAAATCCTCAGAATTTCTAGCCATATAAAAATATCATCCCACTACGTGATGACCGTGCTGGTAATAACTGATTATATCAATCCATAGTCAGTCATAAATCCGATATTTGAAGTCTTAGTTGTGAATCCAATATTTCAATGGATTGATATACTTGGAAGTCGCCAAGAAAAAGGGGAGATACTCTCCGAGCTGCAAGGTCTCGCCGTCCAAAGTCCAAGCCTGATGGCAAAAGCATCAAAAGTCAAAAAAAGAAAGCTAAACCCCTCAGTGGTATCACAGCAGTAATATGATATCAGTAATGTGATATCATATCAAGCATCATAATGTAATTCACGTTCAAAATAGTGATGGAAAATGATCGAAAGCAATAAATGTAAACATGGTGACCCCCAAAAAGATAGAAAAGTAGCTCCCGACTCAGATAGTCATAGATGACTCTGTTCATCTTTGTTCTATCTTTTGAGGCTTACTGTTTAAAAAATGTATAATTCAAATATCTAAACATGTCCAAAGTATCAGCCAGGTACGTCCCGCCTTCACATGGCCATCGTCCCCACAGCTGGCCACATAGCCGTTCTTCAGATCGTAGTGTATGGCACGACTCCAACCTGCAAGTGGTGGCGAGTCACGGAGTTCACGAGGCTTAGTTCAACCCAGTTATAAGTTATAACTATAGTAACTATAGTAACTATAGTAACTATAGTAACTATAGTAACTATAGTAACTATAACTATAGTCTTCCGTCCTACTGAATTAGCTGGGGTTGTATATAACCCAGATACGATTTTTCGGGTGAGCCACAAGGTAGGGATGCCACCTTGGTGCTACCCAACTACCACTGGCCCATCTGACAAGACACCTTGGTGCGCTTTCATGGGCTCGTTGACACGTTTCACCTGAGAATTGTCGGAGTTGGAACGAGGCGTCGCTCATGCTTCAAACAGGAAAGTGAATAATGTATGCAGCATATGCAGTGTGTAAGTATAGTAGTCACATACTATCGCATAGCTACATGTACATACCGTCAATTACTTCAGTTTTACGTATATATAGCATGTCCAAAATGATGCAAAAAATCGAGATCCATTTCAACCATTATAGTGGCATGTGTGTTAAGTTCATCTGCATCTTTTCCGTGGTTATTCTTTTCCTGTGTGTGTGTGTGCGCGCAAACCTGCATGTATACAACACGCCTAATTTTAAATACCACTATATAAACGAAACCCTAGTAAATATTATCTAGCATTGGATCTATTCAAATATTGGGGGCCTCTGATCATGGATGTCATGGGGGTATCTGTCACAATCATTCACAATATATGTAATAATATGCATATATAAGTATATATATGTACATACATACATATATACATATATATATATATACGGTAACTACATTTATATAAATATACGGACTTTTAAATATACGAACAGGTATTTTAGACTACCTCCGGGAAGGTTTTCCTTGGCCCGGGAGGCCTTTTAAACATACGGACTCCAACTCATTAAAACATACGGTAACTATATTTAAAATACGAACTGGTATTTCATACTACCTCCGGGGCGTCGTGGTCTCGCCCGCCCTCCACATGTTTAAATGTCGTTACCGTATATATATATATATAAATATATATATATATATTATACTGTATGTGTGTGTATGTGTATGTGTATGTGTATGTGTATGTGTGCACATGCACATTGCATTTGTAATAAATACAAACTACTCATGAAATTAGTAGATATTCTACAGTGGATGGTTGCGAAATCCTGCACCAGTTGACTCAGTTGATAGGTGGTAAACATCCCATTCTAATAGGGCTTCATCCTTCCGGTGAGCAACCGATGGTTTGCCGAGCCACGGAGGCTAAGGTCAAACGCCAGGCCCTTAAAGCTCCATCTAGGCCACCGCTGATCACCTGGATCATTGAGATGGGATAATCATGGGATAATCCATGATTTTTGGGAGGGAGAAATATGGAGAAGTCACGAAAAAATCGAGGGATTTTTAATGATTTTTATGAATGCAACTGTGGAAAAAAAAAACTCACCTACTCACCAAAACTCACCAATCATTTGCTGACATTTTGTGAATCTACCACGGCTCACAAACACCTTTTCGCGTACACAACGGCACTATCTTACCCCGATCTATGGCTCTGATGTCTTGCGACAACGGCTCAAAAATCATTGGTCCAACAAGACTTGGCCCACCTTTCCCCTGGCCCCACCGTCGATCCAGCGAACTGAAGCATCAACAGCCCCTCACTGTGATCCACAGATTCGAGCTCGATGGGCACCAAGCGATCACCACCTCGGCTGCGCGGCTGCGCGCAGAAAAAAACGGCACCTGGATTGACATCCATTGACATCCTGGATCGGAAATGATCGGAATCCTGGATGGGCATGGAGCTGCATCGTTGTCTGGCAAGCATCTATGTCGCCATGCTTTGATATCACCGCGCATACCAGCAGAAAGCACAATGCCTCCAAAGACTGAGATTGGAGTCTGAGCCTTGCCTGAAACCTGTGCGTTTCCCCGTAGTACTGGTTGATTTATAGCACCTCGGGATTCACACACTGTGGTTGTAAGTTGCTACAGAAGTAGAGCCAGCCATCAACATCCGGGGGCCTGTCTTCGCATCGTAGGCCTTGGTATGCTGCAGTGCTATGGCCGCAGGACAAGGAAAGCACACCATCCAACACAGTCCCAAAGCTCGTCATGAACTCAGCCAACTGAATAAATCGGTACCTGTGGAAATCCAACCGAAAAGCAGCCGAACCCTCGGCCCAGTGGCGAGTGCCAGCACTCCACTGTTCAGGAACTGCGTGGATCGACTGACCATTCGCAGCTCCTGTGGCGCAGCTGCCACCCAAACTCGGGGTGAAAACCAGGAGTCCAGAAACTTCAATCCTTAGGGTTGCGAAAAATTCAGGAAGTTAGTATCAACGGCCAAAAATGAAACGACGCCACAACCAAAATTGAACATGTCTTGCCTACGAAACGAACCGTGTCTAGATTCGAAAAAAATATCTGCAAAAACCAATCGTTTCATGTTTTTGGGGCCTTAAAATGGATTGACCTGATTGCTGGTGTTTCCAAGAAACATCACAAAACACCAGCCATTTAGCATGTTCTTTTCCAATTGGGTCCAAACCCAGCTGGATCCGGTTCGGTCTCAACACATCCAAACACATCCCTTTCCCCAGTTCGAATCCCGAAGTTTCGATGATTTTCTCGAATCAGTTATCCAGTTAATCAATGTTAATCAATCTCCCATTGTTCTCCATGAAATCCAGTGAAATCCCAACATGTTTTCCCATATGTTTTCCCATGTTTTCCGGCCTGGCCCTGTAGCTGCCAGGCACGAATCGCCTTGTCCACACCTAGGCGATCCATGGGAAATCCATGCCATGGTGATGACATGGCATGAGTAATATCTAGTAATATCTAGTAATACTTATATCAATTCTACACATTTCTACACCAGCTATGTCAATCTAAGAATCTACGTCATGCAAAATATTTTTGGGGAAAATGGGGAACAAATGGGAAAAAGAAAACATGTGAAAACATGTGTCATGTGTCAAATCTCCAACTGAAACCAGCTGAAACCATAACTGAGTTGTCCGCCTGCAGTCCAAAGCATCTTCGACACCTCGGAAAGTGATATCCGAGGAATCCGAGCGCTGGATCTCTGGTGTTTTTTGGTGTTTTTTCTCACTAAATCACTGAGGTGATGATTCAAACAATTGGATGCTTTTTACATCTTTTTACTTGGATCATTGATCTTGAGGTTGAAGTAGTAAAATGTTCATTGGATCTCATTCAATCACTAAATTATACTGAATTACTCAATTCGGGTCGATCTCCTCAGTGTTGTCAGTCTATCCCCTCTCTGGCATTGTCGCATGACACAAGCAAAATGAGGAACCCTCAACAGATCCGCAAAATGGTGATACAACCCTTCTCCCTACTAGCAGCTAAGTACTGAAAACACATGATAGTAAACATGATGATGGCCAGGCATGACAGATAATGACAGATCTATGTATGGATACTTAGTTATGCAGTCCCTGGGTCATAGAAATGAATAATGAATTTAGATCGATTAGATTTGGGCTTGATTAGATAAGACTTGATAGATAAATAGATGGATTGACATACGGATAGGCAAGATCAGATAAGATCAGATTGGATCAGATTAGACGTGGATTTGGATTGGGTCAGATTAAGATTAAGATTGGAATATATAGATCTAGATTGGCTTAAAATTAGAACTAGGATGAATTGGGCTTGGATTTAGATCAAAAAATGAATCTTGGATATTAGATCTTAGATATTAAAAAAAAATACATATTGGATTTCGATGGAATAAATATCCCAAATCTCGACGGACAAATAGATATTGACATAGATATTGAATGATACAGTTTTTATATAGATATATATGTCTTTGAATCCATCTTGCTGCGCGCCTGTGTGAAGGAGAAGGCCAAAATGCGGCCACTGTGAGCATCGGCCTGGGCAGGTCATCTGGTCAAGAAAAATTCTACAGGAAAACATGGTCGTACCATGTTTTACCCACCAAAAATAATTGATTGTGGCTATGGTGGCTAAGCCGGAAAATAGGGGGTCCCCCAAAAAAATAGCCACTTAATGAGAAAAATGATGGTTAAGATTGATTAACCATTGAAAATCATTAAAGTACTCTATCTTAAAACCCAAATTGCATCAGTTCCCTTGCCTCTGTGGCAATGTGTCGCAGCTGGCCTTGTCCAACGTCCACCTGCCACTCATCATGGAATCCATGGCCAAAAGTTTACGTCCTGATCATTGGCTGGGACAAATACATACAAATACTGTATACAATGTATACAGTATTTGAAAGGAATGACATATGGATATGTTGAGGGGTCGGAATATTCACAAATCCAGTGCAAAACCTATATAGGTTTCCGATTATGATTTGAACAGCCTGCTGGCATGGCCGGTTCAAAGCGGCCGGCGCCGATAAGCCCAGAAGCCCAGAGTCCAAGGAGTCCGCGGGACATCCGGTGATCGGGTGGACTCTCAGCTTATCGGCATCTCTGGGCTTATCATTGGCTTATCGGCTTATCGGGTGAAGGTCAAAATCTGAACTCGGATCAATGCAGTCCATCACTCACCTTATCATGCTGAGCACCTGCGACCCATTCATCGCAGAAGCCATACGAAACGAACCACATAAAATAAGCAGCTGTGAAAAAGGATGCTCAGAAAAAGGTTTTGTATGGTAATGTCACACTTGGACTTCCGCACAGCCTAAGATCTGTTGCACTGAAAACTGCGTTTCAACCTGTTGAAAAAATCCATCGCGATTTACCGACTGGTCTCATGGTGTCATCCCACGTCTCCCAGGCCTGCCAAACCGTGATGCTGCTGTCCGCATGCGCGCAATAACCTCGCCACAGGTGACGTGAAGGCAATCGACTAGTCATTCTCTCCAAGGGTGATGGGTGTCTCCCTGAAAATGCCGTTTTCGAAACCCCAGCCACGGCAATGTAGGGAAAATGATGACAAACAATAGCTTTTGTGGCACCCTATTTTTCGACAAACCCAAATGGGTACAAATAAATGCTGGCACAAGATCTAAAAAAAACAGGTTGGTTGAATTGGACGCACTACTTCAATAGTCAAAACGTCTGGGATTGAGATGATCCTCCGCGTAATCGACCCGGAACTGGATTGTTCCCTGGGTTTACCATAGGATCAATTCTATCTAAGTTTCTAACCGTGAAAATGATGGAACACGCATGAAAATTAGTTGGTTCGCGATAATAAGTGTGTCTCCTGGAGACTGGAGCTGGATACCCTCCTAGAACATCCTAGCAAATTGCAACCAGCACAGGCACTCCCGGGCAGGACATCCAGATCATCCAAGTTGCAAATATCCTCTTCCGAATCCAGTTGTAACGCCAGAATGCCCTCACCTGCCCCAAAGGTGAACTCATATAGGCCCCAGCATGGGGTATCCCTGGCTATTCAGGTTGACATTCCCTGTTGGTCCCTTTCTGTTGGAGATTCTCTTCTAAACACATCCAAGAAATTGTCTCTCTGCGGTGGATCTCTGATCTTTTGACCCAATGGGCACATTTGCATATTTTGCATTCTGCCACGTCTCAGTCTCTGCTGCTGCTCGCGAATTTGGAGCACCGCGCAGTTTCTAAAAGTTTACCGCCGAAATGTCTGACACTTGCATGGGCTATTTCTGTGCACTTCCGCGCTGTCATGTGTAAATTTGAACCCTTAAGATGTGGCTGGAGGGAGGTCTGGGCCTTGTTAAAACTCACGAACGATGGTCAACTTGGCTGAAAACTAATTTGACGGGACCGCCCATCCCTCCCACCACCACAGTTCAAACCTCCTGCCAGCTACGCTGAACCTGCGGCCAAAATGAAACCTCGGAAACCTGTCCCTCTTCAGACCAAGTCTGCCTCAATATCTATTTACAATTTATATTATATCTATATATTTAATTCATTTTAATTATTCATATATCAAGTCATCCCAACACATTTATCATTTTTCCCAGGTGCCACTTTTGTTTTGTCGCAGGCTCGGACTACAAGCGCTACAAGCGGCTGCGCAGGGCCAACAATCCACCACCAGCAGCTAGGCCCAGTAGCAGCCACCAGCCGCGTCCCCGTGTGGAAGATGCGGCCTCGGACACGCCTCAGAGGTTGCACGTGGAGACCTGGTAAACCTCGAATTCACCTATAGGAAAGTTGGATAGATGTCCAAAAAATGTCTACAGTAATTTACCTGATGTAACTACTCCATCAATGTCTAAGAATCTAGGAACCATCATCCTCCAAGTTAGCTTTTAAAATCCGATTGTCGGATAGATTGATGGCTAGGAGAGTGGAGAGATTCTCAGGAAGGTTTACCCTCTGGTGTCATCAAACGTGGCAATGGAAAAATCCTCCTATAAAGGGATGCTTTTTTCCTAAGAAAAATGAGGTTTCAAGCTGGGAAAATCATCTATGAATGGGTGGATTTTCAAGCCAGCCAAAACTTTTGAGCTAAACCCCTGCAGTTATTACAGGTAGGTTCACAAAAGAGAAAGTCCTTGCAAAGAAAAGCAATGTGTTGAGAATTTTGATGGAGTTTGTAGGTTGCTTCTCCTCCTTTGAGGGGAACCAATGATTGAACAGTTCCAAGTTTTGAAATAAGTGTGTGCGGCACTCTGTTGAAGTGTGTCACAGATTGAGGCTATCCACAATTTTTTTGCCAAGAAAAGTCTTGTGTGAGCTCTATATGTTCTGGATATCCAGCGACACATGTGGGTCCTGACAAAACTGATTGATATACCTTCCACAACATTCCAACTTCCAATGTCCCAGTAGGAATCAACTGATGCCAGCCTTTCTCAGACGCACCACTCTGCCAGTTCCATCCAGTTCCTTTCCAAGGTGCAATCTGGAAAATGTATCACCTGAATCCGTCACACAAGCCACTCACCAAACAGCCAAATTTTTCTGCAAGTTGATTCTGTCTGGTGAGGACCTACAACAGTGTCTCAAAATGTGGTCTGAAGGCTGGTGACTACGGCGGAGATGTCTTCAGGTCCCTGGTTACCACCGAGCGATGAACATCATGATCATCATGTGGCCTCAAAGAAGAAGCGATTCAAGTCTTCGGCCATCAGCTCCGGCTGTTCCTGGTTTGCGAGTCCGGCAGCCGCAAAATCTCTGGTTTCGCCATTCTATGCAAGTCTCTCTCTCTCTCTCTCACTCCATCGCCATTCTATGCAAGTGTGATCAAGTGTGACTCATAGTTTTTTTGGGGTGTCACAATGTGTCACAAACATCCGGCTTTGGAGGTCAAAAGTCCCAAAGCAAACATCAAAAAGATTCCAAAAACGGTTTCAAAAAATAGAGGGTGATGTCTTTCCAATGTCAATCCCGGATGGCCCCCCCCAAAAAAACAATGATTTGCACTTAAATTGGTACCCCCTGAAACCAATCACTTGGAGAGTGCGCTTACAATTATGCGGCCGCTATCCCATCTTATATATGTACAGTTTTTTCGTTTATACTTAGCAAGTACCTAGCCACCGTTGTACCCACAATCCACCACGAATCGAAGGCAAAGAAGTGGCCGCCCCGGCTAGGGGTGGACCAATGCCTCAGGTGAAAATAAAGATGGCAGTGTGCCCAATACGGTCCCAATAGTGGCAGGGTACAAAATGGTGGTGATATATACACAGCACACAAACAAAAAATCGTCATATTTTTTGGGGGGCCGAGGCCTCCAACAGAACAAGTCTGGACTCGCCCAAAGTGGTCAGAGATTAAACCGACAAAGGTAGACACTTATCCGATCAAAAAAAATGTGAACAAGCAAAACCGGAAACCTACCAAATCAAAATTATTAGTGGGGCAGTCACTACGGGAATTGAACGATTGACCAATAGGTCAATAGACCATAAACATTCACCAGCAAATTATTCCAATATGCATAAATGAATAACTAACTATATATATATACTTGGCATCAAGGTATCAAACCACTATGGCTATACTTGATGAAAAAAGACTTTGCGGAGTTAGCACAGCCAACGTTCCTGCAGAGCCGCTTGATGTTGAAGCAAAGTTCTGCCACCTGGGCCGGGCCAATGTTCTGGCTCTCAGATGCGCATCCCAGTGTGCAATTGCCTACAGCTGCACGCGCTATCTAAAAATCATTTTCTTCGAGTGATCCCCACCCTGACACATTATTCGAAGATAGTTTCTGACATAGACATATCACCTGGAAAAATATATGTATGTATTTTATTTAAAAGGCATAAAATATAATTTCAAAAGACTTAATACAACATAGAAAATATAATGCAATAATTAGATATAATTGATTTTTAAAAAACGAAAATTAATATAATACAATATATTACAAATAATATAGTATTATATGGTATATCATATTATACTATATCATATTATATTGAATTGTATTATATTGTATCATAATATTTTATATTAAACAATAAAATGCAAATTTTGCCATATAATATAGAATAATAAAAACAACAAACTATAATAAAATAAAATATATAATAGTAAAATATAGTATAACATAAAAAAATACAAAATAATATGTTATCATATAATATAGAATTATATAATATAATATAATATAATATAATAATATAATATAATATAATATAATATAATATAGCATAATATAGCACATAATCTAATATAATATAACATAATCTAATATATATAATTAGATTTAACATATTATAATATAATATAATATAACATAATATAATATAACATAATATTAAAAAAATATATATATATAATATATCCAAATAAAAATAATTTAAAACACTATAATTTAAAATAGCAAAATATAGTATAATATAATATGTTATAATAAAATATGATATAATATAATATACTATGACATAATACAATTTAAAATAGTATTATATTAAATTATACAATAAAAAAACGGTATAATTTTATCAAAATATAATATAATTTAATTTAATATAATTTCATCTAATTTAATATAATTTAATATCGCATAATTTAATATAATATTGTAATTTTAACAAAATGTAAAATAATAGAATTTAATATAATTTGAAATAATATAATATAAATATATATATATAGTATAAAATATACTACTAATACTATATTAAATAAGTCAATACAAAAATAATATAATATAATAAAATATATACCCCATGTATTCTGGCATTGGTTCTGACATATACTCAGGCATTCTATCTGTCATACTTTCTGGCATATATTCTGACATTCTTTCTGGCATTCTACCTGGCAAAGTACCTGGCATCTATTTTTACACTCTTTCTGGCATCTATTCTTGCATTCTATTTGGCATCTTTTCTAGCATTTATTTTGCATCCTATCCGGCATCTATTTTGGCATACTTTCTGGCATATATTCTGGCACTCTATCTGGCATCTTTTCAGGCATATTCATTCTGGCATTCTATCTCTGGCATCTATTCTGACATTCTTTATGTGGGGTCCAGGTGGCCCACGGCATCCGGAGCTGGCGATGTGGTGTTCGGGCCCAGGCGTGCCCAGCTGCATCCGGAGCTGGCTGAGGAGATCAAGACAACAAAGAGACGGAGAAGGAGGTGAAGGAGGAGAAGGAGAAGAAGGAGAAGAAGGAGAAGGAGAAAGAGTTGCGCCTTTGAAAAAACTACCAAAGCTACTTTCTTCGAGTAATCCCCACCTTGGAACACTAGTCTGACATAGTTTCTGTTTTCTAACGTACCATCTGGATATATGGCATATTTATTCCAACCTTCTATTTGGCATTCTTTTCTGGCATATAATTTGAATTAATTTGACATTCTATCTATTCTGACGTACTTTCTGGCATCTATGCTAACATTCTATCTGGCATTCTATTTGACATTCTCTGAGGCGTCTGGCTGAACGTCCGGCAGTGCCCACTGAGCTCTGGACCTCCCGCTTGAGGTCCGGCAGTGCCCACTGATGGAGCTCACGGCGAACGTCCGGCAGTGCCCACTGAGATCTGGAGCTCGCGGTTGAGGTCCGGCAGTGCCCACTGAGCTCTGGAGCTCGTGGCGAACGTCCGGCAGTGCCCAGTGAGCTCTGGACCTCGCGGTTGAAGTCCGGCAGTGCACACTGAGCTCTGGAGCTCGCGGCGAACGTCCGGCAGTGCCCTCGAGCTCGCGGTTGACGTCCGGCAGTGCCCACTGCTGTCTGCAGCTCGTGGTTGAGGAGGAGCTGGAGGACAAGGAGAAGAAGGAGGAGGAGGACAGGATGCACCTCTGATAAAATCTACAGACCTCACCTGGCAGGTGGGGAAAAAAAAGTTGGGTGAGACCCATCCCCACCTTCCTTGGCACTTTGATGATCTCCGCCGGGGACCAAATGACTCCAGTGGGCACTGCCACGTAGGTCCCCATCGCTTTGTTGGGCGAAAAGCTGCGTATGCCGGGCTGCGGCGGGTGCAAGCCCAGAGTTTCCTCGGTTGGGCCGTGGCAATAGATTAAAAAGATGGATGCATTCATAGTTAATTAAGCAGGTACAGCAAATAGACCAGGGCACTGCAAGGATTTTAAATTGGGGGAGCCCAAAAATCGAACAAACCATGACTCAACCCTGCAGTTCCCAGGTTTCCTGAAAATTTGACCCCCATGTCAGCCCACACGATACAAGAAGTGACTTTGGTTTGACAGGCAACATGCCAGCTGATACTGATCGAGAGGGGGATGATTCATTGATGAGTGGATGATTTGATGCTATCCATGTATCCAAATAAATGGGGTCAAACCCGCACGCGGTCCCGAACAAAATCCGCTGCCACAAGTTAGCCATGGCCAACCAATGCATGAGTTACATCAAACCAGCGACATAAAAGATATGCATATACATTCATATGCATATGAGCATATAAATATATACATATATATATATATACACATACATACATACACATATGTACATATATTATATATATACATACATGAAAATCTATGTATATATATATATATATATGCGTGTGTGTGTGTATGTATGTATGTATGTATGTAGGTAGGTAGGTAGGTAGGTATGTATGTATATATATGTGTGTGTGTGTGTGTTCGTGACTGTTCGTGTATATGTGTGTATAAGTGGGTGTGGGTATTTGTTCTTGTGTATGTGTGGTGATATATGTTCAATCTATCTTGTCTCTAATACCCTGGAGGGTCCACCCTCACCAAAGGGCGTAGTAGAGCCTGCAGCTGGAGGTGATACTTTGCGTCGTCCAGTAGACCATCACATCGCTCCTGCGGCGCAGGATCTGTTCGTCTTCGAAGCCCGAATGGGGAAAATTTGGAGTGAGACCTTGTAGACAGATCTAGATATACTCTTGTAGATATTGGACATGGATCTGGATATCGACATTACAGATACTGGCATGAAGTATACGGTGCAATGATATCATACACACAAGTGAGCAGATCACCAACTAAAATTGAGAGAGCGTAAGCACTCGCTAAATAAATCAATTCAAGAAAATCATGGCCTCTTTGAGCAAGGCGAGCCAACGAAAGATGTCTGGACACACCCCAACAAGTCGGGTTGAACAACTTCTTATACCTAGCTGGGAATCCCGCATTATAGTCTTGAGAAGCTTGTTCTGCTTGTGTAGGTTGCAAACGAAACTGAAGCGCATCATGTTTGCATGTTTTTGCCCTGTGCCCTATGCACACTCAGACTCAAACAGTGTCCTGTAGCCCCGACAACAAAAGCTGGCAACAAGCCGGTCTGTTAGCTGGCATCCAATTATATCCCATCCCAGTCTGCAACCTCTCGAGCTCGTACCGAGTCGCAAGATTTCATCCATGGTCAAACCACTGTCTTCTGGTCGTCCCCCGTGGTTGTCACTCCACGTCTGAAATTTCCTTGGCGCACGATGCCATAAAACATCATAAAACTGCAGGGGCATCAGGGGTCGGTGAAAACAGACTGCACCATGAGCCGAGGAGCTCCAAGATCCAAGCCAGTAATCCCACAGGGCTGTCATTGAGACCATAACCTGCTCAGATGGTAAGCACATGGTAAGCACTCGGGGAACTGTAAATGGGTTGGGTCACCCCAAACTTCAGGATTCCCAAGCTGGGGAAATCTTTTAAAGACGGCAAGTTTTGTGGGGCATCCCAAGGTTTGGCACATCTCAAGAAGGCATAAACTTCCGAGTCTATCAACATTAAGATCCCAACAGCCAACTGAAGAAACCCACCAACAGCGCCTAAGGATTGTGGTTTCGTACCCTGGATCTTCTGATAAGCACCTGGGCGAATGGCATGAGGCCCAACTATTTCGTCTGTGTGCTTGGGGCCGGCACCGACTGAATGATGAATATGATGAATACCGGCATGTGTGTGTGTGCAAACACTATACTACAGTATATTATGCAATTGTACTTGTCTGGGTTTGTGCAAAAAATAAAAAAGGAAGGGTGCCGAGGCGTACCCCAAGATGGCACTTGTTTCAATTGAGAACATGATGATCAACCATGGATTTTTTGGTATATTCAAGCAATCTGAAACCAAGGAGCTCTCGTACTTGTGGAAGTAGTAGGTGCTCTTCAAACCGTCCCATTCTGCCTGGATCTGGTCAGTTTTTGGTGGAAATAGAAACACAATGACTCGATGTTGCGTGTGGGAACCCCTCGTTTTCCTCTCAATTTTTGAACCTAGATGACATCATGGGACTGTGGGTAGAGAGAGTATGGACGGGGATTCCAAACACACTTAGAAATCCCAGTCCTTTGTCCAGAATGGGATGGTGAAGATCGCCTGGCACAGAACAGGGATCTATCCAATGGGAGGACTTTTGTTGCACATTCTAATCTCTCAGGTTTGTCATAGATTCAAACCTGAACTTCAACTTCGTGTGCAGCGCACCAGCGGGTTCTTCAATACACTTTTATATTCCAGACCTTTCGGTGTCCAATCGCAACTGACGAGAAAAAAACTCGCCTTCAGCATGTCAGGCAAAGTCGATGGCACTGCTACACACATGTTCCTGAGGGCTGGAGTGAGCTCACGATTGCAGCATATAATTTGTCCCCGGCTAAAGCGTTACATCTGCAATGCATGATTTACGCGGTTTGTGGAAGCATCATGTTGGGCGAGGCGAGGCTGTTGTGGAATGACAGGATTCTCTCATTGCAGGATCTTTTGAAGCACCACTTGGCATGGCTTTTCACAAGTTGCCGCAGAGACTCACATGCAGCGCCACGCAGCTTTCCGGGTGCCTGACATCACCACGGATCATCTCAAACGACTTCAGGTGATTCAAATCGGCCCCTCCTGCAGAAAGTCCTAAGCGCCCGGCCTGGCAGCCAGTTGGCTGGTAATCACCGCACCCCAATCGCCACCTTGCGCGCAGTAGTGGCGATAGCCCAACAATCGCATCAGCTCCGCAAAATGTTCCGCCATGAAAACAACCTCAGCAGGATGTGCTACAGAGAAGAATCCAAAATTTTGGGTTCACATGGTCGAGATTCAAGAGTTTCGAACCGAAATCAAACAAATCTTAGATCAAAGTCCCATAAAGTCCCATGATGTCCAAAAATCCCCATAGTTTACCATAGTTTTCCATAGTTTTCCCTCAATTTCTCCCTGAGTTTTCAGCATTTTTCGGTAAAAAAACGCCAAGGCGCCGAGGCCCCTGGCTCTCTGGGCGCCTCGCTCCAGCCGTAGCCCGGGATGCTGGGGGCCACCACGTGGAAACGCTTCAGAAGCGGCAGCAACTTCCTGAAGTGTTCAATGGTTATCCAACTATAGCAATATAGAAATGTAAATAACATACACTTATGGCAATCTAGTCATATAGCAATATCGTCCAATATAACTAGTAATATGTATAGTAATTTATCATCGAACTATAGTAATTTAACGTAATTTATCGTAGAACTATGATCAAAAATAGTGATTTATACAGTTTTCAATGTAGTGGTATAATCAACTACGAGCACCATGGCAATAGTAACAGTATGTAAGAGTCCTAATATGGTAGCAGTACGATACTACTAATACTAGTAGTTTGAATAGTACAATGGTAGTTTTCAACCGTAGTAGTACAGTGGTCAATAACTTCCAGCAATCCTACTTCATTACTAGCAATGGTAGTAGTATGAAAATAATCCTATATTGTAGTAATAAACTACTTTGTTGACAATTCTTATAGTTGTAAGCATTGTGATTATTGTTGCATGCATACTAGAGTCTACTAGAGAACTTAATATCTATAGCCTATAGTCTGTAGTTGGAATAGATGATGACTGCTTAACAGATTATTTAAGAATGAACGTCAAAGGAGTTCTAATCGATTAAATCCCTATATTTATATACCTATATATATAAGTTACATAAGTTACATAAGTGTGTGTGTGTGCTAGATCTACTATATAAACCTTGAAGGTGATACCTCATCTGCTGGGATGTTGGATGAATCCCCGCCCCGAACTATTGTGAATACCTATGATGCATTAGATATGAAATTATGTCAGTTTGTCTTTTGTGATATCATATTTTGCTATGCGATTTTACATTGATACTACCCTCTGGTGAACTAACATAGCAATGGAAAATCACCATTTTTCATGGGAAAACTCACTATTTCTATGGCCATTTTCCATTGCGAATTGTTAGTTCACCAGAGGGTACTATTTGATATTGTGTGATATGGTGCGATATTTCACGCATTGAAAACTTCTTGAAACTGGCCTGGTTTAGAGTTGGGATCCATTTGGATCCAGGCGGCAGGAATTCCACAATGGATCCGGGCCAGCCGTGGACCAACAACAGCGGGATAGCATTGGGGTCCTGAAAACGCAGTAGGGTGGCAACTGAGTGGATCAGATTGGATGATTGGTGTGCCATGAAAGAAGCAGATGCCAATTGATGTGACGAATTGGACGAATTGGATGTGACATCCCAAGAGTTTTCTGCAGTTCAACATGACCATCCCAACACCGGCGGTGGCGCCGTCGAACGCTGGTGGATGAAGTGGGTCTTGAGGCCATTCACGGGCAAAGTGAAGTGTGGAAACGAGTTCAACTTCTTTTCCTGCGAGCCGAGCCCTGAAAACTGGGAACCTGCAGGGCCTGCAAAAGGCTGATTTTCCCCACCAAAGTGGATCACTCGGATTCATTTGGATTGCAGGAACAGGATGAAACAAGCACCTGAAGCCTTCCAACTACCAGGCCCTAGCAATGACTGCCTTAACTCCACAGCTGTCCTGCTGACGCCAGTCAAATTTGTTGAGCCAGTGCGACCTGAGCGGCGAGACCCGGAACCAAGGGTGACGGTTTGGGGTGTCACTACCACCTGATGATAAATGGTGCAAACAATCCCTATTTTCAGACAAACCCCTATATCCCAGGGCACCCAGAACTTGCCAAACCTTCATCAAATCACAAAACATGCTTCCTCGGGATGCGCAGTCGCCATGACATCAAGACACCTCTTCTGGCCACGGTTCAAGGCTTGAATCGATCCCAACATATGAAACTCAATTGGATACCCTATTGTCATCCCATGTGTTGGATACAAGATGTAGAAATAAAATGCACAGCCACAATCACCAGCCCGTTGGATTGATATCGCCACTTTCTGGCGTTCAAAGTGTACAAGTCACCATTTTTCGGGTACCATTTATTGGTGAAACTATATATACATATAGGAGGCCAGCTTTGAAAAAAAAACGTCTCTTTCTCTGGGATCTTCTTCAGAAAGGCGTTCCCCACTGGATCCAAGTAGCACATATTCTTCCAATGTCACCTTGTCCGTTCCATAGGACCAAGCTCCGTTGGGATCCCGCAAGCCCGCTCCCACATTGTCGGGCACCAGCCGCGCACGTTGCAGCCGCAAACGGAGGTCCTCCAACACGTCGTCCGGCACATGGATGGTGAAGGGGCTGGGAGCCACTTCTGCCATGGCTCAAGAAGGCCAAATCGGAAGACTTGCGGACTTTGGAGAAATCTGGCTCAATTTCAAGAACGCAAAGCTGCCGGTGTGGCATCAGAAAGGCCATGTACCCTCTGATGCACTAACATGGCGATACACTGTGGTAAGTCCGAAAGTGGGGTGCCACGGCATAACATGCAGATCCGTGTTTTCACTTCACCAAATTTTAGTTGCAATTGTGGGGTATCCCTCCATGTTCTGACAAACCTGTGCATACATGTTTGCATTCCATACTGAGGCAAGCGAATCAAGCTTTATTTTAAGCACCCCCCCCACCAAGAAACAAGGAAAGCAAAATCCGGCGCAAAGATTAGTGGTATTTTCTGTTGTTGCTATACCCAATCAAAACCGGGGACTTCCACTTGTCATCTTCATCCTTGGCCTTGGCAGGACGCCATTGCAGTGAAGGTCAGATCATCACTCAGAAGCCAAGCCTTTCGACAGCAACAGAGAGCCCTGGTTTCAGCTGGTTGAAGTCAATAAAATCTCTGTTAAGCATCAAATTACAGTAATCCATCTTTGCAATCCAACAGAAGGGGTTCCGAGTTCCGTTCTGGGTCCGTTCTGGTTTTCGGGCTTGGCAACCAAACCCAGAGATTGAAACCCAACAGGCACTGCTGCTGGGAATACGGCAAACTTATGATTAGAGTAGTTTTCCATAGTTTTCCCCCAATTAATTCATTCCACCATGGATGGTTGGAGCCCCATTGCACGTGCCCAACCTTGATAAATGAAGGATAAAGGGCAACTTCCCTGACAGAATGGGAGACCCAGTGAGTTGAAACAGGTGGAGCATTCCATGATTTCACCACTTATAGGTCTGTTGGCGGCATTGTATTTTGACCCCCAAAGATGCCCCATGTTCATCAATGTTCATCATTTTTTCCTTAGAACCCCATCTAAATGTCGTAAATGTATTGGCAAGTTCTAATACAAGGCACACAATAGGGCGCTGCCCAGGATTTCACTGATTTCACCGAATTTCACCCGCCAAGAAGCACGCAAGTGTAGATCCGAGCCAGCTGTAACAACCAGCTTGCCTTGACTTCTCTACGGATTCTTTACGCAGCAGCACTTGACATGACCAGCACTTCATCAATGGAAAAACAAATCGCATCCACAACTCGCGATATGCCCAGCTACTTCTGGAGTCATACCTGAGGTCGCAGCTTGGCAGGAGAGTCAGTTTAGCGGCTGTTTTCAAGCCCATAATACAAATCATCCGATTTTCCAAAATAGGGCGACCTTCCGGGATTGCTGAACTGCTAGTGTGGAACGCATGGTTTGGTCAGAAAATTTAGGGCATTTTTTCCCTAAATTTGCTGCTTCATCATGGTTATCGTCATATTCTCCGAAAAATGCCACATTTTCGGTGGCATACCCCATTTCAGACACACCCCAAAATCGTAGTTGGTCAGAATCAAACGTGCCTTCAGAAAATCCATGATTTATAGATGAATTTCCCCTCAAACCCTCTATTTACAAGGGATTTCCAATTGCCACGTTTATCAGATGATATATTCGAATTATACTCCCAATCTGTCCCGACTCCAACTCACGATCACTGCTACAAAGATGCTGAATATGGGAAACCGTTTTACCATCATGCGCATCTTCCACCTTCCCCTGAAGGACTAAGGCTGGACCCATGGGCAATCGTGAAGTGGAGCCAGCCAGAGTTTAATTCAAAAAAACAAGCACCAAAAAGTTGTATCCGTGGAAAGTTGTTTGCTTTACAAAGAATATGTAATATAGCCCGTCTGAAGGCTGGAAGCCCTCCACTTTTTTGGGCCCCGTACTCATAATTTGGTTATATTGTTCGGTTCAACTGTTCAATCTGCGTTCGTCTCAACTTTCGTGCGTTTAAAAATTATTAGGCAAAACTACCTTCCCTCCAACTAACATGGAACTCACCAGTTGTGAGGCTTGGAAATATACTACAAGTCTTTTCATGGACGATTCTCAGGCTGAGTACTGAAAAATTGGGTTCCCATGTCATGGGGACCAATTCATACTCCCCAACGCGCCAAGAACTCACCAACATTGAATAATTGGATATAATTGGATGTAGCCTCCAATGGGTTTTTCAGTTGATGCTTAAATTCATGGTGATATGAAGATATCAAACATGTTTGTTGCTGATTCCCCTCATGGATGCTGATCCCAAAAATCCCCAATTGCAAAAGTCGAATCCTCTACGCCTGCAGGACGATGTTCTTGGCATCGCAATCCAAAGCCCAAGATCTCACCGATCCGTCTTCGCCCGCGCTGAGCACACGCCTAAAAAAGGCTGTTTCTTTAGGCACAAAGTAGAGATGAATGTGGTCATAGTGATCATAGCAACGAAGTGTCACATGGTCACATCATGCATGTGTGTATAATGTTGACCTACGATTTGTAAACTACCCCTGAATAAAGCTAACCAACCCCCCAAACTAAATAATAAACTACCCCTAAATAAAGCTAAAAATTTTTGGCCCTTAACCCAGATTTGCCCAGATGGGGCTGAAAAAAAGTTTTATTTGAGGTGGCTTTCATGTACTGATTCAAATTGCCAGCTCATCAGATCTTACCTTGATAACTTCAAATTTTCAAAAATAATGGTTGCTCTTTCTATTCAAAACCTTTATTCAAAATTATCCAAAATCAATCCCAAATCAACTCGTCAAGGGTACCCCCCATGAGGTGCCTTAGCACTAATCAGTGTTTGACCCTGAATAAAGCTAAATGTTTTTGGCCCTAAACCCAGATTTGTCCAGATGAGGCTGAAAAAAATTGTCCATGCTTTAATTGAGGTTGCTTTCATGTACTGATTCATATTGCCAGCTCATCAGATCTTACCTTGATAACTTCAAATTTTCAAAAATAATGATTGCCCTTTTCTATTCAAAACCTTTATTCAAAATTATCCAAAATCAATCCCAAATCAACTCATCAAGGGTACCCCCCATGAGGTGCCTTAGCACTAATTAGAGTTTGACCCTGAATAAAGCTAATTTTTTTTGGCCCTAAACCCAGATTTGCACAGATCCATGACATGAATACTAAATCAATACTAAATCCATGACATGAATACGAGATCAATACTAAATCCATGACATGAATACAAATCAACGCTAAATCCATGACATGAGTACTAGATCAATACTAAATCCATGACATGAATACTAAATCAATACTAAATCCATGACATGAATACTAAATCAATACTAAATCCATGACATGAATACGAGATCGATACTAAATCCATGACATGAATACTAAATCAATACTAAATCCATGACATGAATACTAAATCAATACTAAATCCATGAGATGAATACTAAACCAATACTAAAACAATTGTTGGATTCCTGTTTTTTTTTGGAAATTGCATTTTATGTATTCGTTTTAAATTGTGGTAATTGAAAACCTTTACATACAAACAAGTTTTTAACTTTATTTGAGGTAATCAAGAGGGGGGGGGCCCAGGTTTATAAATCAGAGGCAGACATTATACATATATTTAATATATATATATGTGTGTGTGTATATATATGTCATGAATCATGAATCACATGTCTACAGTAATGTCAAAACGCATATGTTTGATTATACCCTATCAGACAGAATCTTAAAGTTGAACGTACGTACTGTACATCATGCATCATCAGCATACGGCATGCATCATATGTCATGCACCATACCATACCACATTTCATACCCACCATCATACCATCATTCATGTCCTTCAATTCCATATCCCATCATATCTCATAGCCTATCCTAGCATATTTACTCATCTCTGGGACCTCATATATATAATATATCGCGAAGTAATTCATACCTCATATCAGGTGGTTTGGCCATCCTGGCCTGTTTGTGAGCTCAAGGGCAGGAACTGTATTTTTCTTACCTTCATCCGAGCCAAGGCACATCGTCTTTGAGCAGAACTGCAAACCCAAGATGCCACTCGGGTGCGCTTCGAGCATCTCGGCTATAGCTGTGAAGCACTCCTCCTCACCATAACCGAAAGATATTGAAGGCCATGCAGAGCACTGAAAAATAACTTCAGCGCGCTCGCTCAGTAGCGAAGATGAATGAACCCCCGAATGAACCCTGAAATTCCATGGTTTACTCTTGCGTAACTATCCTTTTAAGATAAGTTAATCATCTTCCCCATTGAAATTGGCATTGCGGGGGAGTATGCCCAACATCCCCTGAACAGCCATGAACACCCCAGCACCAAGACCAGGCATTCAAAGGCTGGTTTTGGGTCCTTGTACCGGAACACACGAATCGCCTGAACCCAGCTTGCAAGCCGCACCATTTATCTCAAGCACCCCTCTTTTGCAAAATTCTATTACTGTGTGCGAATATGGAAAAAGTTTTACATGTATATTATTCATTCACTTGTTTATCAGGCATATTCATTCACTTATGGATATGTGTATGTATAATATATTAATATGTATGTATATATATATATTATATATATGCGTGTGTGTATACATTGTGTGTGTGCAAGACTTGAAAAAACAAGATCTTGGAGTCCGATGCCCATGGCCCGCAGCTGAGGAGAAATGGTGAGAAATGTGGAGGTTTTTCAGCATCACATTGCCATCACCACCGCGCCCACCCAATTTCACCACCACCAGCAACAGCAACAGCAACAGCAACAGCAACAGCAACAGCAACCGTCGTCGTCGTCATCATCCTCATCATCATCATCATCATCATTATCATCATCATCATCAAAAGAGAATTGTTGGCTGAGTTATTGGGGTGCGTGTGTGTGTGTGTGTGTGTGTGCGCGCTTGTGTGTCGTGCCCCTCTTGTTAGTACCATTGAAAATCCTACAGTTTCATCATGGTCACATACGCCACAATGTACTATCATCATCGTCATTACAATACTCTTAACCCGCTAGTGCGCTCAGCTAGTTCGTTTGGGGAATGTACCGTTCTAATAGCCATGTGGAGGTGATCCGGTGAACCCGTGGCTTACATTCATTGATCAACCAAGGTTTACTAACCCAGGTTTTTCTACTCCAGGTTGAGTTGGAGATCAAATATGGCTCACAATCGGGGTGCCAATGGACCCACTAAATTGACCATTTTGAATACCCATCTTGGGGGTCCAATGATTTTCACCCCGTACCCACGTCATGGATCTCAACAAGGCACCCCATCATCACCAGAGCTCACCACTAATCCACTCGATGGATCAAACTGCAGATCCCTCACCCAGCCCTGATGGTTGCAGTCAGCCTGGCGGCTGAGCTCACTATGCCGATTTGGGGGATCTGATAGCTACAAGACGAGCATTACTTGGCCATGTGAACCTTCCACGAGATCTGCAGCTTTTCACTCCCCCAGCCCCAGCTGCACCTCGCAAGCTACCTGACGGAGAGTGCCAGGCTGATAACGCCAGAGCTGCAAACATCCATCTTTTCCAGAGCTGATGGAAATATTTGAAGCCATATTTGAACCTTCGGCGCGGGCACAGCATGGATCAGCACGGAACATTGTGGCATTTTCTACCATGACAGAACCGGGGGCACTGCCCCACCAGGACATGGCCAACGTGCGAGCCCACAAGCGAACTGGATCCCTTGAAATGAGGAACCCCCCAAAAAAAACATCAAACATCCACAGAGTGAAACTCACCACTTGCAGTCACTTGATGACGCGGCGAAGCGATTTTCTCATTTCAGCAGTTGAGCCAGGATGCAAAGACTCAAAATCCCATCCTTGGGAATCAGGATTGAAATTTTCGACACTACTTGGATGTGCCTGGTATATAGGAATGAAGTACATGAAAGCAGGCGGAAATCCTACTCAAAGTCCATGGATCAAAGTGAAAGAACCACAGCAAAACCATAAGTTGGTAGGAGAACAAATGCTGGACCGCCCATCCCCCAAACAAATAAGGAAGAGAATCGGAGAGAATGCACCAAAAAAAGATTGAAACAACCAGCCGGTTTCTGCATGTTTCCTCTCCATGTTGGCATCACATTGCTGCGAGGCTTCTGCATGAACCTCTTCAGAGGTTGCCAGAGCTGAGAAATTGCCGCTACTGTCCTGAGTGAAGGCAAAATCCCTGGCCCACAAAAATGAAGAGATTAACTGATTAACTCTCAAATATTTCTGGAATTAAGCAGAATGATACAAACTATGGAATTCGACCGCTTCAAAGTTCGATTGTGCCAAGCCGTTACTGCATATTCAGCAGCAACAATGGCAAATTAGAAGCGCCGAACATGATGGATTCGTAGACGAAGCTGCAGATGTGGGCACTGACAACCGTCAGTCTTTTGGCTACCTTTTTGCTCACCAATGTTTTAAGCCAACAAAAATGTATAAACATCTGAGTATTTGTCGATATTTAAGAATTGGAATGTATATTTATCAACCAACAACACAGGGGGAGGTCCTGCATGCCTTGACTTTTCATCTTTGGTCAAGGCTCAAAGCGCCAGGCACGCACCAAACCATCAACGCCAGCAGTGATCATCAGCCTCCAAGGTGGACCCCCAGGCTGATGGTTGAGCCATCCCAGCCATCCCAAACACGTGAAAGTTGATCTTCTAAAATCACGTTGAGATGGAAAGAAAAACGAAACCACCAACTACTTACCACTCAAAGTCGCAAATCTGGAAAAATTCACATGATCTTACCATATCTATCCATATCTTACCTTATCCTGCTGTCCCATGCTGTCCCCACATCGCCCATATTGCCTGTTCTGGGGGTTGAACTGGATGGCCATTACCTTAGGTAAGGCACGGTCGCATTCAACGGCCGCTTAAAAATGGCAGGTTACCTACGGTATCTTGGTTAAACTGATTAAACATCTGAGCAATGTGAGCAATCTCGGAAACTCAAGGTTCATGAAAAGGACATCAACAAATTTGGGAAGCTCTCATCGTTTACCACACATGTGCACAAAAATGATGTATGGCAAATTTGGGCAGTATCGTTGAAAGGGAAAAGATGCATGTGCACAAGTTTGGCATAACCTTTAAAAAGGTGTTATCGCTGTGAAGGTTCCATCGCTTATATACTTCATGTTGCATGTACAAGTTCTGAAAACAAATGTCTGTCCCCCAAATGTTTCCTATTGCATGAGTTTGTGCGGTGGCTGCTTGTCGGTTATGTGATGTGTTTTGTAATGTGCTAAACCACATAATAAACCATTATACAATATTATATAAATACATATGTATGTGTGTATATATATTATATATATACATCATTATTGGGTATACCGGTACCCCTAGATGGGATGATTTAAGATGACCAAGTGGTTGGTCATGGTTGGTCACTGGGATGGCATTGGATTTGCCACAGTACCCCCACTGTGACTGATTAAATTGATGAAATCAACAGTTTTCACTACCAAAATGTCCATTTGTTCCATGGCTATGTTGAATTACCAGAAGCTAAATCCATCTAAATCCCATGTTTAATGAGTAAATTAACAGAAAGGGACGCTCTCAGTCCCCACGTTTACATGTCTGGATGGATGAGGTAAAGATAAATATAAAGAAAAAAAAATCAGTAAAACAATGCTACATATATGGAATTTGTACAAATGAATATATCATGTTACTAAAAAAATGATTGAAGGACACCTGGCCATAACATAATTTCCAAATCTCACAGGAAAGAAGGAGCCACACAGAAAACAACCGAAAAAAAAAAAAATTGGGCTGACCCCCCCGCCTCCCCTAGATGGGCTATCTTGGCTATCTTGGTGGCTCTAGGTGGCTCTCTGGGCCATCTTGTCTGCTACAGCCTCATATGGTATTCTTATGGGACTTCCACTGGGTTCTTATGGGATTTCTATGGTATGTCTATGATATTTCTATGGAATTCCTATGAGATCTCTGAGGGAAATCTATGGTATTCTTATGGGATTTCTTTGTGGTTCCTATGCTATTTCCATGTTATATCTATGATATTTCTATGGGGATTTCTGTGGGATTTTCCATGATATGTCTATGATATTTCTATGGGGTTCCTATGGGATTTAAACAGGATTTCTATGGTACTTCTATGATATGTTCAGAGGATTTCTTTGGGAATTCTATGGGATTTCCATGAGGTGTCTTGAGAATGTCTATGGTAGTTCTATGATATTTTCTATGGGACTTCTATTGGATTCCTGTGGGGTTCCATGGTAGTTCTATGATATGTCTTTGGGACTACTATTGGATTTCTATGGGATGCCGATTGTATTTCTATGGGATTCCTATGGGGATTCAAAAGGATGTCTGTGGGATTTACATTGGAATCCTATGGGATTTCCATGATGTTTCTATGATATTTCTAGGGGAATTCTATGGGATTTCTGAAGGGATGCTATGAGAATTCTATGGTATTCTCATGGGAGTCCCATTGGATTACTATGGGGGTTCTAAGGTGTCTTTGTGATGTTTCTATGGGATTTCTTTGGGATTACTATGGGGTTCCTATGGCATTCCTATGGGAGTTCCATGATGTTTCTATACTTCTATGGGATTACTATGGGATTCCTGAGGGAATTCTATGGGATTCTTTAGGGAATTCTATGGGATTCTTTTAGGATTTCTTTGTGGGATTCCTGTGCTATTCCATGTTAATTCTATGATCTTTATATGGGATTTCTGTGAGATTCCTAAAGGATTTCTATGATATTTCCATGGGATTACTATGGGGTGCCAATTGAAAGGAAGTTGAAACCATTTCAAAATAAATTCAAACTAAAGTGAAAAAACAACATCCAAACATTTTTTTCAAGGGGGTAGTCCATGAGCAAGAGATGAATCAAGACCAAAGGTTTCCCAAAAAAGATGAACTTCAGCCAACCAACAAAATCCATGAATGACAATGATCTTCAATAGTATGTTTGTTGTGGTGGTCCTCTATTGTGTCCAGCTTTTTTTTTGGCAGTAAACATTTTCCAAAATCATGTTCTCCTTCCCTTTTCCTTTGCTAATACGTTTCTCTTTTTTACTTTCTTAGCTCATTCTTTTGGAATTCTCAAAATGTCTAAATGAAAAGTTTTTTCCTAAGGGTGAGCTTCAGCCAGCCAAGGGATTTCCATGGGATGTCTGTGAAATTTATTTTGGATTTCTTTGATATTTCTATGGTATGCCTATTGGATTTCTATGGTATTCCTATGGAATTTCCATGATGTTTCTATGATATTTCTGGAGCATTTCTATGGGATTTCTGAAGGAATACTATGGAAATTCTATGGTATTCTTATGGGACTTCCAATGGATTCCTATGGGATTTCTATGGTGTTTCTATGATGTTTCTATGATATCTCTATGGAATTTCTATGGGATGCCTGAGGGAAATCTATGGTATTCTTATGGGATTTCTTTGTGGTTCCTATGCTATTTCCATGTTATATCTATGATATTTCTATGGGCATTTCTGTGGGATTTTCCATGATATGTCTATGATATTTCTATGGGGTTCCTATGGGATTTAAACAGGATTTCTATGGTACTTCTATGATATGTTCAGAGGATTTCTTTGGGAATTCTATGGGATTTCCATGAGGTGTCTTGAGAATGTCTATGGTAGTTCTATGATATTTCTATGGGACTTCTATTTGGTTCCTGTGGGATTCCATTGGTATTGTTTAATATGATGTTTCTTTGAGACTAGGACTAGAAACTTAATCAGTGATAAATAACTAGAAAAAATAGTAAAAAGCAGCTAAAAATCACGTAAAAACTGGGGACCCACAGCGTCCCACACTCTAAATTAAATCGCCATTAAATCACCATCTTTGCCAAGTTGTTGCTGCTGTAAGCCCCCGCTTTGGTTGATTGAATTGATGAAAATCCAGGTAAATCATTATATATCTCTAATATATGAATCGCTAAATCATCTACAAGTGGTCAATTTGTTCCATAGCAAACTGTGAAATGACCAGCTTATACCAGTTGTACCAGCCAGTTTAACTTGAAGCCCAGCTCGGTTCATTTTCTTTCCCCAGATCCATAGCTGTGAAAGCACCAGAGGCTGAGTCCCATCAGCTTCCTACCATGGCATCCAAGAGGCCCAGTTCTGATGTGCCTCTGGAGCCGTGCCCATCAGCGACAGCTCTTCGTTCAGAACTTCCCATGCCTTGATGCACCGGTCCTGGCAGGTGAAAAAAATGGGAGTGTTGGGGGAGTTCACTAGCAAAAATATATGGATTTTTCATGGGGATTTTAATCAGCAAAAATTTGGGGAAAAAACGCACCCAAAAGTGGGAAAATCTGAACTTCAATTGGGACATGTTAAGGGGAAATCTACCGGAAACAGGGGTTTTTACTTCCAAATAAAGCGGCTCCTGCATCCAATTCGTTTGTATATTTCCCCGTTTATCGATCCATCCATCTATTTTTTTCTTAAATCTGTGCTGTATAATATGATATATATATATACACACACGGGTGTCCCCCTCCCCCCCACCAGGAGAAAAACAAGGTAGCAGCATCTGTAAGAGGCCGTGTCGGTGATGACATCACACAGTGCCATCACGATGAGGGAAGTGTCCGAAACTGTAGCAATTTATACATTTTCTGGTGCAAATCCCTTGGAAGGGCCACTTCAAAAGTGGAAAATCTAGTGTTTTACAAGCACGAAACAGGAGTTTTGTTCGTCGAGGGTTTCGCCAAAAAGTTCCTTTTTTCCTTTCAAGCACAAAGTTGCCCGAGGTTCTTCAGGACATTGCCTTTGACGCTCTTGCGCCAGACTGCAGCATACAAGTACTTCCAATTTTTTCTGAAATCTTGTCTGCAACCTTTATGATCTTTATGTGTGTTCAACTGCCAGGGAATCGTGCTTTTAACCATCCCACTGTCTGTCCAAAGCCTGCGTTCCGGCCAAAGAAGAACTCTTTTTTGTGGGCTTCCTCCCAACTGCTTCACAAACTCACCGCAGTTGTGGGCAACGTTTTGCCATTTGAGGCACTTGTTGTTTGAAGGCTCCTGTCCAAGCTTTGCAAGCATCAGCATAGCGAGCTCTTCGGGCTCGTAGCATGATGTATGTGTGGAAGTGCACGAGGACGTGCAGCAGCGTAGCATGACGTACGTGTGGAAGTGCAAGAAAACGTGCAGCAGCATAGCATGACGTATGTGTGGAAGTGCAAGAGAACGTGCAGCAGCGTAGCATGACGTATGTGTGGAAGCGCAAGAGAACGTGCAGCAGCGTAGCATGACGTACGTGTGGAAGTGCAAGAGAACGCGCAGCAGCGTAGCATGACGTATGTGTGGAAGCGCAAGAGAACGTGCAGCAGCGTAGCATGACGTACGTGTGGAAGTGCAAGAGAACGCGCAGCAGCGTAGCATGACGTATGTGTGGAAGCGCAAGAGAACGTGCAGCAGCGTAGCATGACGTACGTGTGGAAGTGCAAGAGAACGTACTATGTGGTTGCAGTCGCAATGAACGTTAACATCCCACCCCACCCCACCCCGACCCCCCCCACTCCACACGCGCATGGCCTCTTACTGGTGTTGACACCAAAAACAACCATGGTTCTGCCTGGTGGAGGGAAGGGACAGAGAGACGCACCCGAATATGGTTCTGCCTATCTGGAATCATCCATGCTTCTGGTACCTTTGAATCGGGCAGCACAGCTCACCTTAGTGCAAAAATTCTTCGATGACCAAAACTTAAAAAACAACTAGCAATTGGAAAGGCCCCATTTATAGTAGCTGATGGTTCCCCAAAATAACTTTTCTGGGGGGTGTTTCCCAGCTAGCCACCTTTTGATGAAACCGAGGGTACGTCGAACTAATTCAAACTAACTAAATTCAAGTGGTGTTATATATGATTACAATATTAATATATGATTATATTTATTGATATTGTTTGATATATAGAGTAGTATGGCGGGGTATTGTGATCATGTCCTAGTTGTGTGGGCAAACACATCATTTGAATTCATCTGACACATCAACTTACCCTTTTAGCTCAGGATGCCATCACCGTAACTCAGTCCTTACCGGAGCTGAAGAGGACCCCCGTCTGCGGGTCAAAATGCATGGCATAGATCGTGTCCTGCGGATCCACCACAGCTGCACCCAATGGCCCGACAAGTCCCACAGCCCCGCACCTTGTGCGCATCCATCCAAGAGACACGCGGCTTCGCCGGAGTGTAGGGATCCTGGTGGCTTGCACAGGGCTGTTAACCTGGTAACCCCGAAGTAAGACAGAATAACAAAAAATAGTGCCCTGCCCAATCTTACGATCTAGAAGAAATTTGAGAATTGCAAGCAATTTCATCCATTTGGGCTTGATCGCCTGAACCCTCGCTCATCAAAGGTCCCGCCGAGGAGCCAAGATGTGAATGCTTCTTCCAGAGGAGATGGCAAGTAGGCCAGTAATACCCTCCACCACCACACGCACATCCTGCAGCTGTGGCGGCTGTGGCGATTTCGGGGCGGATCAGTCATCGTGATTTCGGGTCAGGAAATTGCAGCTGCCACTCCTCCAGAAACCCTTCGTAGCTCCACAAATGGGAAATAGAGCTACTTGACCAGGAAAATCCTGAGCAGCGATGAATATGAGAAATTCATAGAAATCCCTCAATGAAAATATCCAAAAAGGAAAAAAGGTGAACTTTCAGCGGTCTATCATAACAAACTGACTAAGTATCCTGCCAATTTGCTGGTGAATTATGGACCATTTGCAAAGACTATATATGCTCTGATGAGGGTTGACTTTCTGCGGCAAATTCCCCACGGTGGCAACTAGTCGGAATGAATGATGTTAAGCTGGAAACAACCAACGTCTCTTTACTTTAATGCGACAGTCAAAGAATGATACGGTGCTCGGGCGTTGGTATGTTGTACTCTCTGGCAATCAAACATGGCAATTGAAAACCTATGTAAATCGGGTTTAATGGGAAAATCACCTATACATGGCGGATTTCGTTTGACCAGAGGTTATATCAATAAGTTGTATCATGTTATATCTATATCAACCCTGCCACCAGCCACAGCATCCGTAACAGCCTTTGCCGATGGCCAGATAGACCTCAGACTCTTGTGCCATCCTCTTGCTGATATTGCCGTGATTGTTTTGCTTGGGTTCCTGATGGTGACAGTGTTTTCTTGCAAATTTTGGACTGGATCATTTGGCGCCGCATCCATTGGCTGAGAGCCGGACTTTGGTCTCTCGTGTTGACCAACATAGGCGGGACATGATCGCGCATGCCCCGCGAAAAATATTAGGTCCGCAAATGGCGCGAGTGTAGGTCGCTACTCAACCACGCAGGTGTGCTACTGCTGATGCACAGCAAGGGTCTTTGGGATTGGGTTGAATGGTATGGAACCATAGGTATCCATAGGTGTTGCCATCAAATGGGGCTTCCATGGAGTTCCTGTTTTGTTTCCATCCAATTCTCTTCCTCTTCTAGTTTCATCCAATTCTGGAATCTGTCCATGTCCTATGGAGGCAATCACCACCTCTGGCCAAACAGCAGCGCAGTTTACAGCAGTGCTGAGGGCCACCTTCAAATTGGAAGGCCCTTGTGAGATGTTGGAAAACTGGACGTACTTGGATGCTCGTCTCTAAAAGTTGCCAAACTTTTGGCATTCTGATATATCCTATATGTGCATAATTACATGGATTTGTATATGCGCACATACATGCGATTAATCAAATTCCAAGAGTTGTAAAACTATGTTGACATCCAAAAATCTGTCATAGTCCTTAAAATCTAGGCCCGATGGAGTGACACACCCCTAAAGGATCTTAAAGGAAGCATTATCCAACAGCGTCTGGACAATCCAAAGCAACACTCCAGAACTGTCACCACCCATTGCCCACCAACTCGATTCCTTGCCAAAATATAATCTGTTCTTACAAATCTATGTTCCATTCCCACAAAACTCACCCAGATTTCCTCCCGTTCACGTCCTTTTTCTCCAGCTCTGGCATGGTGCTACCGTTTCAAGGTCTGACCAAGCTGCCGTGGAACCACCCAGTTACCCTCCTGTCATCAAACATGGCTAGGAAATTCCGGAACTAAATGAGGGTTTCCTAAAATAAAGGCACCCCAAAATGGATTGTTTATACTGGAAAATCCTATTAAAATTGCTGATTTGGGTGATTTCAGAAAACCACCAAATGGGCATTTCAATGGGAAAAAACCTGGAAAAACATTGCACTATCCCTTGGGGATTTTCCGGGCCATGTTTGATTGCCAGCGGGCACATTCTCAGGCCCATGTTCAACGTATCAAGTTCCGGAGAGTGGGCCTGTTTTCTTGGACTCAGCAACCCGGAAGTGGAAGATTGGCGATCAGACCGCCAGACCAGAAAATGGTGCCTGAAAATGAGGTAGACCCAACACGTGGAAATTCATGGGGAACACGATGACAAATCACTGGGTTTTGGGGTACTCCATTTCAGACAAACCCAAATGCGAGTGGAATGACAGGGGTGTCTCCAATCGACAATGAAACTCACATCCGTTTTACCCTTGCACATTCGCAAGTTCGGGATTCTTTTGGCTACTTGCCGGTATCTGAGGATGTATGGTAATTCATCGTTATTCCTAATGTGTCCAAACAAAAGTTTCCAAAAATGAGCCATGCCATGACAATATCGCTGGCATTTGAGCTTTTAAGGAGAACCACTTTCTCCCCTGTCCCCTTCTCCGCGCACTCTAGTCGACACAGCAAGAGCTGGAAACCCAGCTTTTTTGGCGATGTTCATGAAGATAACATCATGGTAACAAACAAACAACAGGAAGGACAAGAAAAGAGTTTTGGTGAGACAAAAATTGTTGCCAAATCAGGCTGATTAAATCAGGACATGTTTCTATCCTAATGTGGTTCAGGATATTGACAAATTAAGATGAACGGCCATGGACATCTGCTTCCTGGAGGCTGTCTCTGTGCATTTCGCCGCGATGCGGCCATTAAAAAATTCAGCAACTTTAGCCTGGCTGCATGATGGGACCGGGAGTGATAATATCCAGACCAGGGAACACGCGAGGTCGAAGGATGTTCGAGTTGTCCATTCGGAACTTGTGCACATCTGCACCCACCCAGCCAAAGCATGGAAAATGTTCCACCAAGCGTTGTCGATTCACCAGAAATTTTGCCTGGCTCTGTACCGAGGACCATGTGAAGCAAAAGCACAGACTGCCTTGACACGTGTGACCAGTCGTGTGTCAGCATGATAGTAACCCGCTGCATGGTCATTCAATTGTCATTCATCAACCTGATGGCATTCCAGCAGTAGGTCCCAACTAGGATTCTGTTCTTTGTACTAATCAAATGCGCAATTCGTGTTGCTGTTGCAGGGTCTGGTATTTTTTCACCCAAATCTAGGGATGTTGTCAACACGTTTCTACATGATTCATGGTGGTTCTATATTTTCATATGGTTTTCATCCTAATCACAAGAGCGCAACAAAACAAGTTACATCATATTTTGATATTTCTTCATTTGTGCTAATCATGGCTACAAAATCTTTGCCACCACACGCATCACAGGCGCGAAGTCTGTTCAAACCCCTCATTCCGCTCAAGGCAATGCACCTGCGCATTTTCCTGGCGTTCTTGTGGTTGGGGGTTCTCAATGGATGAGAAATCCCTTGATTTCATAATGGTTGCATGATTTTACCAAGATTTTCATTGGATTTTGATGGGGACATCCTCTTTTAATGGGACTTGGGACCTCAATTATATAGTTTCAGCATGCCCCCTGACAAATATCGGTAATTCGGCATCATCCCGACATTGGAGACTCAAGGCTAACCGTTGGTGAAATTGTTTAAATTAAAGCACGTGTGTTTTGTCCAAACATATGGAAATATATTATGCATTATTATTATGCAAACATTGAACATTGCAGTGTTTTCATGGAGGAAAGGATGTTAAACAATGGGATTGTGAGGTTTCCGGATTTCAGAGAAACCCACCGCAACCAGCAAGTGGTCACGCCATGTCACGCCAAGTGTCTTTCAAGTGCAAGCGATGACGTTGACCGCGTTTCCCTGGGCACTGCGGATGGTCCTGTCGACAAACCATCCAAGAGTGAGTTTGGTGGGGGGGCGACTGCTGGCACCGAATCATCAAAATACCGACCCCTCACTGCCAAAGAAGTCTCCTCATCCCCTGGGAGCAGCAAAGAATGTGGTGACAAAGGAACCTGGGTGACTGGAACCCCGCGGTGATCATTCCAATCGTTTGCTGCGATTGGGGCCTGACATACGCACACACATATGCAAATCTATATTTGGAAGAATTATATCATAAACACTACATAAACTTCTCACATAGATTGGTTTCAAGACTCATGTATGGCTTGTGGTTCAAGTAACCGTGCTGGTCATTGTCATCATGAATGGGATCAACACCCAAAAAACATGTCAAGGCGCAAGGCTCAATAAATCCGCCGGCCCCTCCAAGGGGGAGCGCGCCAGAGAAGCTTGAACCATGTCATGACTATACATTTTCCCTGTTTCGTCGCGTTTCCTAAGGTGACGTTTGGCCGCGTCCAAGCCCATCTGGAGGACTTCTACCAAGCCCATCAGGGGGCCTTAGTGAGGGTCCCCTCAGTTTCTTAATGGTGACGTGTGGCACCTTCCCTGTTTTGCAGGGTTCGGGTCCAAGCCCATCTGGGGGCCTTCTAGTGATGGTTCCTTCAGTCTCTTCATGCGTTCCTTCGGCGGAAGCCCCTAAATAATATTGTATTATCATCGAGCCACAACCCTGCCATTGACCAAGAGCTTGCTGCGAAAACAATGGTTCATGGCATGAGTCATCAAACCCTATATCCTGTCCTGGCCCGTCCATGTCAAAGTTTTTTCCATCCACGACACGCTTGGTTTGAGAAGCTTGGTTTGAGTTGTGGGGCCCCGGTTCCAGCCACATGCTGCTGCAGTTTGAGAACTTGCATCACTCAGCGGCATCTTGTGGGGATTTTCTTAAAGCCCGAGATCTTCCAAACCTTTTTGATGCGAGCCTGTCGCTTCGCTTGTCTGGCTTCCAATTCCCGTTTTGTTCCAGATCGGAATCGGCCAGCCCTGCGTCTCCACCTCCTCAACTCACATAGCGCGTGCTCTGTCAAGCATGTCGTCCATCCGCGGGGGCACACCAAGAGTATCTCCTCCACATTGTGTTTGTGTAAAAACGTCTACCATTGACAAGCAAACTTGGAAGCAGATATGCAGAGGTACATATAGACGGGTATCTGTATGTTGGCCCCGAAATATCGCGCGATAACGTCACGACTATAATATGAAACGTATGTCTCAGTGGGCCATGCCTCGCTTCCATCATGGCAACACAGCACTTCTTTACTTTCTCAAAACTTGTTGGCGAAAAAGTGGCGGCTCAAGATTGTTCAGAGCCATGCGCAGTCGCTGTCTGTCAGCGATTATCTTGTGAACTGTCTCAACCTCTTACCACTGGTGAGCCAAAAGGAATTGTTCTTGGCAGTCGCTCATAAAAGAATGGTGACCGTTCGGTCACTGGGGCCCGTTTGCGTCGCGGACGTGCTGTATGCTCATCTAAAGGCAAGTCGTAGACTAACTATCTATCTATCTATCTATCTATCTATATATATATATATGTGTGTGTGTGTGCATTTTTATGTGTATCTCTCTCTCTCTCTATCTATCTCCCTATGTGTATATATATATACATATATATAGACATATATATATATACATATATATACATATGTATACATTTACATATATATATATGTGTATGTATGTATGTATGTATGTATGTATGTATGTATGTATGTATGTATGTATGTATGCATGTATGTATGTATGTATGTATGTATGTATGTATACATGTATGTATGTCTGTCTGTCTGTCTGCCTGCCTGCCTGCCTGCCTGGCTGTCTGTCTGTCTGTCTGTCTGTCGGTCTGTCTGTCTGTCTGTCTGTATGTATGTATGTCTGTCTGTCTGTCTGCCTGTCTGCCTGCCTGCCTGCCTGGCTGGCTGTCTGTCTGTCTGTCTGTATGTATGCATATAAAGGGTAGAAAACACGGGACTGTGCAACTTGGAGGCTTTACAAGCTGTACAAGGACAGAAAAACATGCATACATCGCACCTTTTGACGCAAACCAAACCTATTTTCACAAGGCCAGTCTCCCAACAAATTTCGGCTTTCGAGCGCTTCTTACTTCCCGCTGAGCCCTTTGATCGATGCCAGTATCGTTCTTGAAGGGTTCAGCCCATATTCTCAGCGGAGATGCGCCAGTCTGGCTAGACAAGGACAAAATGATCGCGGCTCATTTGCCCGGATGCCTTGTGCTGTGGTGGAGATTGAACATGATAGATGTCATTTCCTTTCGGCTTGCACATTTGTGATCCAAGACTTGCTGCACAACAGGTATCTGAGAAACAGGCTGAAGTGGTGGCAACTGATCCACCATTGCCAAAATGCGAGCTAATGCTTCTTCTGTGGTTTCTTGCAAATTCCTGAGCCATGACCACTGCTTCCAAGGTTTGAGTTGCCACTTCAGATCTTGGCGCAGCTGTTGAGTCTGCCATGGTAGCTTCCGCCACTGAGGGTGATGCCTGTGAGGATTCTTCAGAGTCCAGAGCATCTGGACTGGTTCAAGGGAAGGAGCAATGTCTACATCCAATTGCAATGAGGAGCCTGCCACAAGTGTTTTGCAGCACTGATGCAAGAAGCAATGCAAGAGTTCTCATAGCAAGAATTCGAGGCCGCATAGCCAAAATCTTGAGCCAAAAGGATCTAAAGATGGTATAGACTAAGCGAAAGACAAACGTCATATTTTTTGGCGCAACTTATTACTTCTTGCTAAAGCTTGATAATGTTATGAATTTTGATGACAAAAGCTGATGCGCCAAAAGCTTCGTTTTAGAGGAGGCTTGCGGGATGGCACCGACGCTTTCTTGATGCTGCTGAACAATCAAGCACTGAACTGGCTTTTCAAAGCTTCGCTTGCTGCCGTTCCTCTGGCTAAGATGAGTCGGTCTTGCCTGGGAAGATCATGGATGGCTCTACTGCCGCTTAACACGAAGAGAACATGGTAATATAATGTAATATAAAGATTACCCTATCTCGATCCGCATGACACTGCTGTGTTTGTGTGGCTTTCCATCGTCCTGGAAATCTCGCTTCGAAACCAAGACATGATGGGCTTGCATGCAATTCACATGGACGGGGGATTGGTTAGAACTATATAGCTTTAAAGGCTTGCCCACAAAATTGGAACAAAGGAGGGGGCTTGCAAAAGCTCTTGATTGTTTTGACTGTCCTGCTTCTTAGATGGAACCAGGGGCAGGGATTATAAACTTTTTTCTACGTATGCAAACATAAGCGAGAGCATGGCGTTCGTTCTGCGTTCTGCAAAGCACGCTTCGACGCGGAAGACAAGATGCACCGGACCCTCAGCCACACCAGTGAGATTTGGATGCAGATCTGCAGCTGCCAAAACTGTTTTCGGAGCGCCAAAGAAAACCTATCGCGTTGTTTACCGGGCTTCGGAGGCAGTAAGCTTTGGGAAGCATTCTGGAAACACACTTTGCCTTGCGTGCGAGCTGCGCGCAAAGGGCGCACAAAGTGCCGCTTGAGCTGAGGATAGAAGAACCGCGTGGCTTTCCCCAGCTTTCTGCGCCATTTTGGCTTGCCTTCAACTTCTAGGATTTGGCCTTGTCATTGCGGAGACCAATCTTTCGCTCCTTGAGACGCTTTCCCAGCAAAGGTCGCCACGCCACCCCCCTGATGGTGCGGAGTCTTTGGGGAGGCAATGTGGCTGCACAGCAAAAATGTTGGACCTCGCTGCGGCCGCAATGGTCGAAAAGGAAGATAGGCGCAAGGCAATTCTTGATGCCAGGGAGTGCCCGCCATCGGTGAAGAACCATTCATACACTCATTCATTCATTGATTCAGTCCCAGTTCATCCGAATCTTTTGCTCCCCTGTGGTTGCAAAGGATACCCAGCCTGTGTGAGGGCACTTAGAGCCACGAATCTCGAGCGTCTTCTCTCCCGTAAGGATTTTCTGCAGCCATTCTGGGCGTATCTTGAGGATACGCGTCGTTTCAGCGAAGGCAACGGCCGCGGTGACGAAGCCGCCTTCCGGGGAGGCCGTAGCATGAACGAGAGATTGACAGATTGACATTCAATGAGTGCCATGTGACAAGCCAAGGCATCCTCGAACGGTAGGACCTTCGTGTGCTTGCAAATGAGGTCAATGTGAGGAGCTGGCATTGGCTTACATTTCTACGAATGATTTGTGGAAGCCCGGTTTGGGCAAAATGCAACCGAAGGACTGGCAAGCAGTTTGCAAGACTGCCTCTTGGCCAGCTCGGCGCGTCCACAGCTTAGCCTTTCACATTGAGGCCAAAGCCATGGCAACTGGACCGAATGAAAAATGTCTTCGCACTAAGGAGTGGCTGCGGTCGGAGATCCGCATCGAAAGAACGAAGAACTGGAAAACAACGGCAAAACTCAATGGCAGCCGCCGAAGATGGGATAAGCAGGGGATAAGGGTGGCCACCAAAATATGAGGATTTGGGGGAAATGCTTGGGAAAGGGGGTGGCTCACATGGTTGCCAAATCATGATGTGATTCTGCTTCTTGTCTTTTCATGCTTTCCTTTTTCTTGAGTTGTGGGATATTGTTCCGCCATTTCCTGGGATACAGTCCTGTTGCTCTCTGGGATATTGTTCCATTACTGCCTGGGGCGTAGTGCAAACATCAATAAAAAAAATCAACAAGCACAGGTCTTGGGTGGCACTATATATAGATATATATATATACAGATGTGTAGATATATAGATGTGCATATATAGATATATAGGTATAGATATATATAGATAGATAGATAGATAGATAGATATATAGACATAGATATATAGATATATAGATATAAAGATATAAAGATATATAGATGTGTAGATAAGTATATATCTACATATAGATATAGGTATATAGATGTGTAGATAGATATATATATATAGATAGAGAGGGAGAGATCTATAAATCTATATATACATATCTATATATATATAGAGATATAGATATATATATATATAGAGAGAGAGATATGGATATATATATATATGTAGATATATAGATATATATATATAGACATATAGATATATAGAGATATAGATGTATATATATATAGATTGATTGATAGATATAGATATATAGAGATATAGAGATATAGAGATATAGAGATATAGAGATATAGAGATGTAGATGCAGATATAGATATAGAGAGCATTAGATAGCTATATCAGTACATAGCATCCGCAGATAGAATCAAGCCACCAACGCCCTAGGCAATTTTGCAGCCCCACTGCATCCCCATCAAAATTCTGTTTAGGAGATGCTCCCATAGACCGATCCTTTGGCAGGTGTAAGTGTAAATCACTGGCAAATGCACCACCCGACCCTGCTAGGCATGCCCTCTGCCTAGGAGCCAAATGGAGAGCTTGCCCTGACCACAAGCAGCTGCCAGACTTTGCCACCCTAGGAGCATGGGCCGCATAGGATACCCTTTACATCACTGGCAAGAGAGGGAAACCATAGTGCCATCCAACCTTTTGCCCCACCAAAGGATTGATCCCAATACTCGCCAATTCGTATGAACAGGTGAGACACATTGAACTGCTGTATTTGACAAGTGGGATATGAATGCGCCAACATCCCCAAGAGATGCTTGAAGAAACATGCAGAAGTCCACCTGGGGTCCCAGACAAATCGGGCAAGCCATGGAACTGAGGCAACTCTTGACACAACTCGTGCAGCAAATACCTTGGCAACGCAGGTTTCAAAACTGCAGCCACCCACACGTGAAATGTGGAACCTCCTCGCCTCCCAAAATTGCAGTGCACAATAAAGCGAATAGGGCTCACAATTAGCATCGTTTGGTTGGGCACAAGGAAATCATCCAATCTTGAGGGCTCCAATCTAACAATCTCTGCGCCCTTAGGTCCCAGGCCACTCTGCCCAGGTCAGGTCCAACTCCTGCAAGGCCAAACAAAATAGTGATGGACTGGGGGATCGTCGTCGTCGTCGTCGTCATCATCATCAGCAGCAGCAGCATCACCATCATCATCATCATCATCATCATCAGCAGCAGCAGCAGCATCAGCATCATCATCATCATCATCAGCAGCAGCAGCATCACCATCATCATCATCATCAGCAGCAGCAGCATCACCATCATCATCATCATCAGCATCATCATCATCATCAGCAGCATCATCATCAGCAGCAGCATCATCACCATCATCATCAGCAGCAGCAGCATCACCACCATCATCATCATCATCATCATCATCATCATCATCAGCAGCAGCAGCAGCATCACCATCACCATCACCGTCATCGTCATCGTCATCGTCATCGTCATCCTCCTCATCATCATCATCAGCATCATCATCATCATCAGCAGCAGCAGCATGTGTGACAAAGGTATCCTCATCACTTTGCACTCACTACTCGCTTAGCACTCTCAAACATCACTTAGAACTCTCAAATCGTCTCACTTAGAACTCACAGAGCTTCAAACCTCTGGAGGGCGTGAGAAAAGATGATCTTAAAATTCATGGTGGGGTGGGGTGGGGTGCAATAGCGTTCAATTCACTTGAAACTCACTTGATGCAACGCTTCAACTTGCAGTGGGATGGGGGCGGCGGGGTGAGGCGCAATAACGTCCGGTTCACTCGAAACTCACTTGATGCAAAAGCAAAGGATACCTGGAAGTCACCTAGATACTTTGAGGGAACATTGTACTTTTCTTCCTATCCAGGTTTGAACCTAATTCGGCGTTTGCTAAATCTTTCAGAGAGGTATAAGCGATGCAGAGGCAAGAGTGCTAAGCGATGCAGCAACCAGAATGCCAAGCGATGGCGCACCTGTTGACAAATAGTTGAAGCCATCAAATGGATCACTGTGCACTGATTGGGGCCACAACCTTCTCATGCAACATCCCTGACAATTGAAAATACATGAAAATACCCTCTTAAAGTTGCCGTCTGCTCAATCTCATAGATCACGTTTCAATGAAATACCAGCAATATGTCATGCACTTTGTGGTTGGCCCATGTTGGCCCCCAGAGTTACTTGGAACATCGTCAAAAGCCCAAGATCCTCTCAGCGGCCCCATGGCCCCACCTGTTTCTGGTAGAGCTCCAACAACCTCCCGGGTGGAGCCCAGAATCCCTGGGCCCAGGAGGCTTCGCTGGCGTCGGGCACTGTAGCCAGGAAGATATGCCTCGGAATCTGCGGCCCGAATTTGTTGGAACTAAACTAACTAAACCAACCGTTTCTGGTTTTTGATGAGGCTTCAGGATTCACATTTGTGGATGGGTTTTTCATGGCGATGTTCTCATGTTGGTATTGGATGTGCTTTTGATGGAGTTTAGAACGTTGTTCGCAGTAGATTGTTACATTCCTCATTTCCAGAACGAAACCCCGCAATCGCAAAACCAGCGTTGCGAATGTTGTCCACGTCCTCCCAGGATCACGGCTGTGACATATCACCGCTTTAAAGGCTGAGCTAAGGTACCCTACAACAAAGTCAATTTTGTTAGCTGAGGTATCGCCATATTTAAAAAAAAAAAAACGTCATTCACCAAGAATTACTCATATATAGTTTGATGGCTAACTTCCCCATGTTTGGATTTATCCTGGTTTTCCCCTGATTTTCATTGACTTTGGTTGCTTTGTTACATCTTCAAACGCTGGTAAATCCATGTAAATCCCCCAATGTTCAAACATGTTTTGGCAGGTTAAAACCCCCCTTTCATGCTAACCAAATCTGACATACATGGCAGGTTAAATCCCATTAATCAACATTAAAATTCATTGCTGTGGTGCCCATTAGGTAAATCCGTTGGTATACCCATTTCCTATACCATGTATACACCATGTTGGCTGGTTACATCCCCATTATATCATTAAAACATATTAAAACCCAATTTCTTCCCATAATACAAATCCATAGGCATATATCCCTTGATAAACTATCACCCTTAAATCACCATTTTTATATATGTGGGATAAACCATTCCCAAATGCTAGAGGTGTATGGCACTGGCTTTACCACTTTACAGTGGGGAAAAAAGTTAATTATTCCCCATAAATCCTAACCAAGTTATCAGTCAACTTAGTCAACTTAGCTATCATAAAACATCATAAAACATCAAAAAACATCATAAAACATCAAAAAACATCATAAAACATCAAAAAACATCAAAAAACATCCTAAAACATCATAAAACATCATAAAACATCATAAAACATCATAAAACATCATAAAACACCATAAAACATCCTAAAACATCATAAAACACCATAAAACATCCTAAAACATCATAAAACATCATAAAACATCCTAAAACATCATAAAACATCATAAAACATCCTAAAACATCCTAAAACATCATAAAACATCATAAATCATCATAAAACATCATAAAACATCATAAAACATCCTAAAACATCATAAAACATCATAAAACATCATAAAACATCATAAAACATCATAAAACATCATAAAACATCCTAAAACATCATAAAACATCATAAAACATCCTAAAACATCATAAAACATCATAAAACATCATAAAACATCATAAATCATCATAAAACATCATAAAACATCCTAAAACATCCTAAAACATCATAAAACACCATAAAACATCCTAAAACATCATAAAACATCAAAAAAACATCCTAAAACAGCAAAAAACATCATAAAACATCATAAATCATCATAAATCATCATAAAACATCATAAAACATCATAAAACTTCATAAAACATCATAAAACATCATAAAACATCATAAAACATCATAAAACATCATAAAACATCCTAAAACATCATAAAACATCCTAAAACATCCTAAAACATCATAAAAAAATCATAAGTCATCATAAAACATCATAAAACATCATAAAACATCATAAAACATCATAAAACATCATAAAACATCATAAAACATCATAAATCATCATAAAACATCATAAAACATCATAAAACATCCTAAAACATCATAAAACATCATAAAACATCCTAAAACATCATAAAACATCATGAATGATTACCCATCATAAGTTATCAGTTCCCCATCATAAAACCCATTCAAATCACGGCGAGCAGCTCTTCACGAGGCGATAGGAACCAACTAATCTCGATCAACTCCTGAGGCCTGGCCGCGGGACGATAGAAAAAAATGGTCGGCGTATAGATATGGGATTTATAGATTTGTTATAGGGATTTAATGGGATGTTATAGGGATATATATATATAAGATATATATATATATATATGGATTTCATACGGATGTATAAGGATTTTATACGGATTTAATTCGATTTGTATATGGATTTAATGGGATTTGTATGAATTTTATACGGAATTTATAGGGATTTAATGTGATTCATATTGATTTCATGGACACTTTATATATAGGGATTTAATTTGATTTATAGTGATTTTACATGGGTTTAATGGGATTTATAGAATTAGATGGTATTTATAAAGAGTTTATAATATTGATTTAGTTGGATTTATGTGTTTTATAGTGATTTAATGTGAGTTATAAAGATCTTATATGGAATTAATAGGAAATTAAAGATAGTTATAGTGATTTTATAGGGGTTTAGTTAAATTGTATAGGTATTTTATACAGACAATAATGGGTTCTTATAGTGATGTTAGATGGACTTTTTAGGGATTTAATGGAAATTAATGGTATTTAATTTGATGATTTAATGAAATGTTATAGGGACTCTCGTGTTTTTAATTACGTATATTTAATTGGATGTTATATATAGGTGTTGTATAATGATTTTATGGGGATTGATAAGGGTTTAATCGGATTTATATGGATGTTGTAGGTATTTATGTAGGAATTACAGGGATTTTATAGGGATTTAATGGGAATTATAGGGATTTTAGACAGATTTGATGGTATGTGTAGAGATTTTATACAATTTAACAGGATTTATAGGGATTTAATGGGATTTTACAGGGATTGATATGGGGTTTTACATTTTGAATGAAAACGCTACCAGCATCTTGGCAATGCTCGGCTCGGCTCGTCTTTGTTTTACAGGGATCTCGGGTTAGGGTCGAATCGGCTACATCACAAATCAAGTTTCCAGGGATCCGGGGATGATGCAACCCTGGAGATGTTTATCCGCTTTCGTCCATGTTCGTTACATGGATTTGAAGTTTGAAGGGAGGAATTCCAAGAAAATAAGACAAAATTGGACCACCGGGTGGGAAAACCATGGTTTCCAAAAGATTTTTTAATGAATCAGGACGACTTGTTCACGACTTGGAAGGTGATGACGATGAATCCAGGGCCTCAAGCGGATGCCCCAGTCATCCAGAAAGGCGTGGAACGCCTTGGCCGTGACGGGGGATGTTTCCCCATGTTTTGCAGCCTTGAAACTAATGGGTGTGTCTGAAAATTGCTAATTTGATGGGGAAAAGGATGATAATCAAAGGGATTTAGGGGTACACTATTCTCAGTCAAACCCTAACGATTTATATGAAGAATTGGAGAGGGAAAAAAAAGATTAAAAACAATCTTCGCCCCATTCTTTTGGCCAGAGTGAATTGGAGTTCCATCCTGATAGTATCCCCCAGTCAAGCAAAATATGATTGTGTTTTTTTGTGTGTGTGTGCGGGCCACCTTAAACCTGAGTTTGCAATCCCAGTTCCCAAGTGCAACGCCTGAGTGAATAAAAAGCAGAAAAAAAAACTTATTGGGTCAATTGGCATTCCTATATCGTCCCAGCAGTTAACTTCAGAATCAGAAATCTGTATAAATCATCCGGATCAATCGGATTAAGTATAGGTGTTTCCGACCATTCATCCTCCAACCGCACCGAGTGGCCATAGGCCCCTCCCTCTCCAGGATCTTCTGTAGTTCACGCCGTGCGAAGTCGGGCGGGGGATTGGCCGCGATCATCACCCCGACACTCTCCTGGGTACGCGAACCGCCCTGGAAAACAGAATGAATGTGAAAGTTCTGAATATATGAATGTTAAAATATTTGGGCATATGTGTTTAAATCTATTTGTCAAATTGTGTGCTATATATATATATTGATCCGTATGTTCATATGTGTCAATGCGCACGCATGAGTATGCGTGCACATTGTGTGTGTGTGTCACAAAGGTATGTACGCGTTCCCGCGTGTGTATACATACAAACACACAGACACACACACACACACACATATATATATATATATGTGAACAATTTTAATCCTTGTTCCCGGATATCTGGTTGTAGTTGTTGGAATCCCTAACGTCCTAGTAGCCGGAGTCCAGGCAGCATTGCTGAGCGGCGCAAACACCGTTTTCCCTTGCGACTTGAGCCGAATATTTGGCGTCATGTCAGGCCTACTCCACATGCTTATACATGTGTGCAGTACCGTTTAGTTCCCTTTAGCACCCCCCATGCCTACGGTGGCTTCGCATCGCAGGCACGAGAGTGGGAACTTTGAATTATATTGTTTGTGGTGCACGAATTACGCCTTCGTACACGCAAATCCATTCAGCTCCCCCTTCACCCACACCCGACGAGCGTAGTGGATCCAGGGTCGCCTACTCTATGGCATGCAATGCGTCAGCGCAAGTTCGAGCTGTACAACGCAAATTATCACTAGCTTGCAGCTACTCTACGATTACGGCTTCGCAAGTCACTCCATCGACGACGGAAGTTGACTGCTCCACCAAGAATAGCAATTGACGCTAACTAGGGAATTCACGTGCACATTGCTAAAAAGAAAATCGTGCAGATTGGGAGTAGTGAGAACATGGAACCTAAGCGAATTAGTCTACTGCCTCGCTCAGAGTCCTCTCAATTGGTCTTTTCCTGATCATCTGTTCACAAAGACGATAGACATCTTATAGTCCAGTGATCACTTGGATGGACAGAGGTGGTTGATTTACTCCTCACGGCGGACTTTCTTCCACTGAGGTGTCGTCTGAGATTTCTCCCAACCTGCCGCACGTTTCGGAGCAGCTTTCGGCGATGCTGGTTTCGCAGGTGGTGCTTTAGGTGGTCCATAAGACTTCGGCATGGCCTTAGCCTTTGGTGCACTGGCCGATGATGACGCTGAACCAGTATCTTCAGGTTTCTGTGAAGGCTGTGTTGATGATCTGGCTTTCGCGTCCGCAGCAGCACGCTTGGTGCTGGCACTGTCCCCGACTGCTTTGAATACTTCACCTACCACTTCGTCCCCCAGGTTCGGAGCCATCTTTATTTTCATTTCGGACTTTCCCCTCATCGCCTCGGACTCAGCGAATTGAATGGCGTAAGCCATCTTGCCGATGAAGTTGCGAGGTAATGGGATACCGCATTGTTGGGCAGCGAAGAGTAGTTCCACCCTTTGTTCCCTTTCTCTCAGACTCAGATATACCGAGAAAGCTGGGAGTTCAATGCAGTTGGGGAAGCCGTGGCTCCCGGAACGAAAGAAGGTGTATGACTCATATTCGGGAAAGGTTCCCTTCATCAATCGTCGGAGGAAGTTGCTAATGGTCACCCTCATCTCCTGCTTCTCCTTTGCATCTCCCTGCATCTTCGTCATTGGCATGAGGAAACCTAAGGAATCGGGAGTGTACCCGGCACAGATGAGAAACTCCATCATCTTTTCGTAAACTTCTAGAGTTTTGATGACAGGCATCATCATGTTTCTCGGCCGCCCAGAGTACATCAATTCTCCCTCTGACCATGAGTTCGTCTTCCCTTTCTCCTGAAAGAGTGCGTCCAATTCCTGCTCAGTCGGCCGCTTGAGTTTGCCGTCCTGATCTTCGCCCGTGTAGGGGCAGAAGTCGTCCAGGTCCAGTCGGACTCGCTTGGTGATTGTCATCAACGCATAGTATTCCTCTGGGGTCAAATTGACTCTCTGGTTGTAGTAGAGTCTGAACATTGCGATGATCTTTGACATCACGGCATTGTCGTACAAGTGAGCCGCGGCCTCGGAGACATCATTGTTTACTAGTCCATCTCCTGGCAAACCCTTGCTTCCAGGCACAAGATTCTTGGTCCATACTGGCAGGTTGTCTGAAGCCTCTTTCTCAGGTTCGACGTTCATGTCATCATCGTCGTCCTCCTCAACGATCTCGTCGTCTTCCTGCTGAGTCTCTTCCTCCTGAGCCATTTCCTCGTCATCGCCTTCGTTGTAGTCGACTTCGTCAGGATTGAAGCCATAATCGTTGGGTTCAGGTACGTTTTCCTGTGCTTGGTGGACCGTGTCCTCGAACAACGATTCTTCCTGTCGGCGAACCTCCTCGTCGATCTCTTTCTTGGTGGCTTCGTCTTCATCGTCTTCAGGGGCTTGTAATCTATAAGGTCGAATTCCACAGCTCTCAAGCTCTGTCCAGCATCCTAGACATACTGCCAATTTCGTTGGCGTCTCATTGAGGCAATGAGGGCAATGACGGCAACCTGAAGTTTCCACCCTCTTGCGCTCGACGATGTAGTCGACCAGCTTGATGCGGGCGAGGTATTGTTCTTGTCCACCCCCTTCAATTAGGTTGTTCCTGAACTGGTGGACGATGTTCATTGCATCCATGGTGATCTCGTCATACGGTTGCTTTTCGGCGTCGATGCATTGACTTGCGATCCTCAGAATGGACTCCTTGGTGGCGACAGTTCTTGACTTGATAGTGCCTGACCGGACTACCTGGTCGTCGCCCGACGGAATGAACAACCGGTGCCATGTCTTGTTGTTTTGATCCTTTGGATCTTGAATCCATCCTCCTCTGATCGCTGAGAACGGGATGATCTTTGGCGTAACGATCTGTCCCGAATCCGTCAATCGACCACCGTACTCCACCATCAGGGTCTCGGTCGGGATGTAGAGGCAGATGTAGTCCCCTTTTCGTGTGTCAACGCTCTTCGTGATAGTCCATGAGCGATGATCCCACGGCACGTATGGATTGAAGAACGTGAACATACGATGACCTTCCCCAAGACCTCCAGGAATCAGTCCTTCCCTCCAAATGCTTCGAAGGTTGGTCTTCTTCGTGATGTGGAAGCAAACCGGCATTGACATGATGGTATTGGGCGCAATCGGATGCGAGAGCAAGGAGGACATCAACAAGACGTCGTCTCTGGAGGATCCCTCCTTGTGCCCTGTTGGAGCGCGAACTGCAACTGGATAGAGCAATAGCCCCTCGTCGGGAATAGGCGTGTCCGCGTTGACGTTGTTGTCAATGCATGTCAGGCTGCTGCGATCAATGTCCTTGTTGATCCCGAACGCCAAGATTTGTTCACGTACACGACGTCCATATCGGGCACAGTGGAACATGATCTTGAACAGCAACGCCATGCGGTTGCTCGCCTCTTCCACGTTCCATGCATTTCGATCGTTTGCTCTCCCTTTGGGGGCGAGGAAGACATGCGGCCAACGTTGGTGCTCATGTCTCCAGATTGACTCACACTTGAGTACGTCCTCAATGGGTACCCAGCCAGCATCGTCACAAAACAAGCTTTGTGATTCTGAGGCTTTCCCCACATTGTGTCGTAGGATCCTGTTCAGTGAGATGCTCACCTTGTCCTCATAGCTGTCGAGCCGATTACCGGTTTCGAAGCGATAGTTTGCCGCATACTCCACACCGCCAAAGTAGAAGCAGTTGAAGAAGTGGGCTCCCGTCGTGGGGATGATTTTCAAGAAACCATCTCGCGGCGCTTCGATCCGTTTGTAGAAGGGTTTTCTGATGTTGTTGTCGGAGTAGTTTGCGAGGAACTCTGGTACTGACCAAGTGTCACCTCCTCCTCTGACAATAGCGTCCCGGACCACTTCATTGAGATCAACGATATTTTGGGGTCCCAGCTTGGTAACATCACGCCCTTCAATACGAAACCTACCAGATTCATCCAGGTCTCCGACTTCGGACATAGTCCTGATGTTGTCGTACCAATGGTATTCACCAGTCCTTGGTTTTGTGGGCTCATCCGTTTGCCCTGACCCTTCCGTAGAACCTGATCCGTCCTTTCTGTGCTCAGGTGGTTCCATCTCGACGTCATCAGATGTGGGACTATCAGCCTCGAGCGACGCCCGGACGGCCTTTAGCACCTTTCTGACTTCATCCTTCTTCTCATTTTCACATTCGAGATGACCATGTTTGGCGCTACCACAGTACAAACACACATTGACATCCTCAGAGACAGTGAAGAGTTTTCCCAACGCATCCAGGAGTTGTTGTTTTCCGGAAATCTCTGAGTCCCTAACCACATCAGTAGGGTCGTTTGCTGGCTCATCAGCTTCCTCCTCCCCAGGGTGAGTCGGCGACTCGTCACCTGGCTGGGCATCAGCATCAGCGCCCATGTTGGCGTCGTCCCCTGTGACATGGTGCTTTCTTCGAAACTGAGAGATGACCTGATCTTTCTCCCACTCTGTGAGACAGTTGAAGTCATTCAACGTTTCATACCCGGGAATTGCGTGGATGATCTTCATGACCTTTTCGGCTTCTGCAGTCTGCAGGGTGCAGTCGAAAGAGCCTCGTCTCTTGTCGTTGATGGTGCTTGTAGTTCTGGAAGTTGATGTGAATTGGGCCAATGCCTTCTCCAAGCCGTTGAGGAATTCAGCAGGGTCAACGCTGGCATTGAAGACATTCACAACCCCTTTTGCCATGTTTGCCACATCCAAGACACCAAGCCAAAACTCGATGATGTCCCCAGTCTTCTCGGCTGATGCACGGGAGAATCCGAAGATTTCGTTCCTGTCCTTCACCTCAGGAACAGCGACCTGCTCGAAGAAGTCCTTGTACGCGACATTCCCGCAATCTTTCGTGACCCTGAAAGCCAGGAGCCACTTCTTCGCGACCTCATCATAGATTCTTTCGCGGTAGATGCTGAACTGTTTGCCGCGTCCATTCCGGAAGATCTCCAGAGCCTGTCTCTTCGATACCCTGACTCCCCCCATGTGCGAAACAGACTTCATCAAGTGCTCCCCGT